AAAAAACGGAATAAATAAACGAGTAAATATGTAACGGTTGAAATGATTTTTTAAATTTTTTTTATCGTTTTGTATATCATTAAGCTGTACACTCTATTCTCTCTCTTTCTATCACCTGTCCTCCGAATGTAATCCAACGCTAAAATATACAAAACGACTTTACGCTCCGACAATAGATGCACATTTTCCAATATTTTAACTTCAATACCATTTGCATTGCAGCTGTAATATGTATCGCGGATCGATTAGCATATATTCATATTTATAGGTATAACGTACAACCTAGGGAACAGAGAGACAATGACCGTGACTTCATATGTATAGATGTAACTGTCTGGTAACCACTTATGATAAAAAAAAATATATAATATATATATCAACTTCATGTACCTATGAACTTCGCAACGTGACCGATCATTATTTATGGTATCCAAAATTTCGAGAATACTATTGAAACATTTATGATACATATATTATAATATTTATACTGTTATACATATATACAGTACAATTTTCCATGTACAGGTGCGTTTTATTCAATACGCCATATAGGTAGATAAATGGTGTAGATTAATCTACGCTATTTTTAGTTGATGGCTTATCGATTTATATTTTATAATATGTGGTGATAATAGTATATCTGTTTCGGGGTTAAAAAAATTAAAAAACACTAAATATTTAAATTTATTTTGTGTTATCTGTATTGCTAACGAATAATAACATTGTCTTGACGTACAGTGATAGTGATGAAAATGTGTTAGTACCACATCGGTTTTATTTCCCAAAACGATGTAAACACTTGTTTCTGTCTACTGGAAAGTAATACCTTCCTAATCTTATATATCGTATATTAAAATACTTTAAATGCAATTTGAAAATATATATAAAAATACATATTTGGACACAAAAGAAAGTCAGCTCTGGTGCTGATATTAATTAATATTCATTTGAATATTTTCTATAAATTAAAATTTTAATTATAATTGGTTTTTGTTAAGTTTTGAAATATGAAAAAAAAATTTAAAAAAATGTTTATTCTTATGTAAAGCGCATGCATAAAAATAGCATTCGAAATTTACATTGATTAACTTTTAATATTATTGCTTAAATCAAATTAGTGTTTACATGAGTGTAAGTGTTAGAATAATCTCGTCGAAATATAACAATATTGGAACTTCTTGACAAAATAATTTGTGTGATAACCTTGTTATAATTAATAACTAACCACCTGAATTGCTTAACCGCTGCCTACAATATTTTGTTATCGGATAAACGATTGAATATATAATTTTATTTTACGAAAAATAACCTTTTATAGCGGATTTTAACTTTTATGACTAAATAATGCTTATGAATTCGATTATAATCATGAACATGAAATATTTTAGTCTTGGAAATCTTTTAAAGATTTTTAAAGCATATACAATTATTAAGAAAATATATTTTTTTTCGACTTACCAAACATTGTTCATTTTTTAAAAAAAAAAAAAGCATTGTTATTTATTTATAAATACAATCATAAATTATATTAAAATAATAATACGTATCGAACTCAATGAATACAATGATTCACCTCATTTGCGATGAAAAATTGGACATAGGACAGTTAAATAATTAAAATTTAGAATAAGTTAAATAAATTATTAAAAAAATAAATATATTATACTAAAGTAAAATAAAATCTTTCATCTCGGTAAAATATAAGCATAAAGACTAAAAGATTAGTCATCTACTTAATCATAGTTCATTACTGATAAAGTATATAATCTCTGAAATAAAAATGACATATTACTGTTACGCTTTTTTTATATATTTTTTTTTATTTTTATCCACGTATTTAATTTAATTTTATGTCCGTTAAAATGCTTGTACATTTTTTTTTCTTCTTTTTCGTTTTTTTTCATTCACGTCGTAATTACTCAAGCCACGTGTAATTATATAGTGAATAATATAAGCACTTACGAAACGTCATCGATAAATAAAACTAAAAGCTTATGTTGATAACTATAAAAATATTACGGTCGATTATAACGAAAACATAAAAAAAAATACAATCGTTTCTTTAGTTACAGCCGCAAAATGTTAAAAAATATGTGTCGCGTGTGTGAAATATTCCACTCGTATTCGACTGTGCGCCTCCACAAACGTTGGAATGTACGTAGAACGGTTCATCGCGATCGCGTACGTACGAGTATAGCCGACATAAAAAAGATAAAGGAAATGATTTAAATAAATGACAATAATTTTGTACACATTTGAGTCCGTCGAATTACCATTCAGGCGTGTACGTAACATCGCACCAACACCATCGTGACGAGTGTCGCATCGTTGTTTTCGGAAGTTTTCGTTTCGTCTGATTATTATAACGCGTGTTTATCGCGCTACGATGTCCGGGACATACGGCGCAATTGTCGTTGTACCTCGGTCGGACTGGCTGGTTAGCGTGCGCTCACGCAAAGGGATGGTATGGCGCGGCCCCGCGATTGTTTTCTCGCGTCCCCTTTAAAATTGTTCATTCATTCGTCGCAATTCATTTTCAACGCCAAATCCTACGCGATACGGTACCGAAACAGGCCACGGTGTAGGAGGAGGGAGATCGGAATGCAATGATATCGTAGATAAGACGACACAAACATACGAAGCAACACGCCGAGTACGTGTTTCCTGTGACATGACGAACATGTACGTGTGCTGCGATATGATTTGTGCGACCCGCAGCGGCCACAGACGGAATAAGCGGGCGAAACGACACCGGCCCAGCCATTCCGTGGGTACGTTCGTCGGGCGTAAGTTGCGCGGCGGTAACGAACCCGTCACAGCGATCGTGTTACACCCGAGCGTTTTTCGATTACCTCGCACGGTGTACTTGCCCGGGGAGTGGAATTATGCGTTGAACCGTACGTACGACGGCGCTACGTACACTTCTCACGCGTACAACGACATGCCCCGTGCACGCGAAATCTCTCCTCCGCGACGAGATGTGTGTCCGGATGTTTTTTTTTTTTTTTTGTCTTCGGGAGACACGGATCGGTTTGATTAACGGTAGACTCGGCGAATCGCACACGAATTTCACGTCGAACCGCGGGTACGAGGGGGAGGTCGGCGGAAACGGATAAGGAGAAAGAACGGTTTTCGCGAATCGACCGCGGCGGCATCACAGATTGATGTCGGCGAGAAACGAAGACGAAAGTGAAAACGAATCGTAATGGAAGCAAAAACGTGTCAAATCTGTTACGGCTTCCTACTTCCGGCATTACGAAACGATCGAAACTGTACATACAATAAACACACATATATATATATATATATAATATATACATACGTAATGTTGCCTACTATTCCATGTGGATACACTACCGCGGTAGCGGTTCAATTATCAGACCGGTAAATGTGGGTTTGTTCGTCTTTCTTCGGCTCGGTGTATTTTTTTTTTTTCGCACAATTGTCTTGTGCGTGTACGTATACGTATACATAATACAAACGCACAACGTTATTCTGTACGTGTACACGATTTCGATTGTACCTGAGAAACGCGTGCGTCTCCTCGTTAACAATTATTTGCTTGTACTAATAAGAAAATAAAAAAAAAAAAAAAAAAAATACAAGAACTTCTTTGATGGCTTGGACTGCGGTCGTTTGCGGTTTTCATCATGTTTTCCTCGTTTTTTTTTTTTATATTTTATTTTCTACAAACCTACAAGGACGGCAATCCGTTTATCATATTCTGTTGTCTAATTAAAAATTAACTTACGTCAGGAGTATGCGCGCACAGGATGCGGTGTATAGAACCCAACTATAATCTCCGACGAGAAAAAAAAAAAATTAACCATCATACACTATACGATATATTACATATACCTACATGTACGCGAGTGTATGTTCGAGATCGACGTAAAATATGCGTGCTGCGCACGTTCATTCGAAAAAAAAAAATGCGCAGTAAATAGCAGTGATATCGTGATAGTAAATATCTCCAAGTCCGAGATTAAAATGCGAAAACACGAGATCGCTTACACCCAACCCCAGTTCAACCGAGCAATTCGACAGAAAAGAAACGCCAGCTTCCGTGTACAGGCAGTTATAATAAATCTACTGCTCTATTCGCGTCGATCAACATTAAAAAAGCGAATCGAATCGCATAAAATGTAATAGTGTAATAATTCGACGAGAAACAGCGATCGTTTTAATTGTTGCCGAGTACGCCGCCCTGTATACAGACACGCGCGCGCGCGCGCGTATAATGTACACAGCCTTGAGCGATATCCGTTGCCGACTGAGTGCGGTTTGTACGATAAAACCCATTTACGGCGTTTCCTCCGTCGCCGAGATCGGTGCAGTGTACGACTCTCCGGATTCCGTAGATTGATTCAAAGTTTTCCCGCGCGCGCGCGCGCGCACAAAACGGATGAATTACGCGGCGGTGAAAAATCCGCACGACAACAGTCCACGCACGTGTAAACCGCGATGTTTACAAGCGCGTACGGGTTCGAACGGCGTTTCAATGACGGAACTAATAATGTTTTGCGAATCGTTTCCTGGTTAGTAAAACGTTCGGAAAGTCGTCGGTCAACCAGCGCACCGTCTCGAAAACGCGCGTTATGTTTCGATATCTTGCACGCCCCCCCTCCCCCCCCTCGAACCGCGTTGGGGAGTAACGTACGCGATGGATCGTCGCGGAACCTCACTACGACAATGTAATGATACGATACCGAGATCGTTACAATAATCGTATCGTTTACCCGCAATTTTTCCGTCGGGTTTCGCGATTGCCGGCTCGACCGCGGACGGTCTGCTCCTCGCCTTGGATTACGCGCGCCGAAGGCCGATTCCTACTCTACACCGTTCACGATCCGAATACCGGTCGCGTTGAAAACGTCGTTTTAATTGATCGCCTGCTTAACGTTTACGTTATGCGGCGTGGTTTCCTGAACGACGGGAAAAAAAACGCCATTACCGGTCACCGATATTTATTAAAGCGTTCGGTTTTTTTCGTTTTCCAGGTAAAGCGTGCGGAGTGCCCAGAGATGGAAATGTCGACAAAAAAGAAGAATCCGAGCTTTTATGGACAAATGTCGTAGAATCTCAGTCGGCGTTTCTGGGACCGAATCTTTGGGACAACAAAACCATACCGTACGACAATGACCTCAAAGTGAGTTTCGATTACAAGCATACCGCCATGGATATTCATATCGACTACCCGCCTTCCGCCTCTCCTCCGTTTGCCTAGACCACAAATAGGGAAGTGATTAGATTTATATACTTCGCGACGCATATGGCGGCGATTCTTCCACAAGGACGGTGCAATGGATCAAATAAATGCGATATCCTAATAAGTAACGTTTTCGTAATGTTTCCGACGGTTTCTCGAATAATTGTGTGTTGCTCTAAGAATTCAATAACCGAGTCACGTCTCTCTTCTGCGGTAAATTCGCACCTGTACCGTATAACAACGATGAACAACGCGTTTTAGACCCCTTCAACAGCTTATAGATATTTCCTCATCGATCTCGAATCCAATCCGTCATAGTTTTCACACAGGTATTTTTTTACAGATCGCGTGGTAAAATATTATAATTATGCGCATTTCGACCCCTAAATGCAATACGATCTGACCTGCAACAGCAATACTGCCGACACACAAACAATTTTTCCTTTTTCTAAAACTTTTAGTACCGTATAACTATATAATATTTACTACATTAACAGTAATAGTATTATATCCTGCAAAGTGTATAGTTAATGCAGATCGACGTTTCTCAGCACTTACATCCCTGTCGCTTACTGTGCTTTTGCGTAGATATTCGCGTGTTCATCCCGGTGTGCCCTCCATCACTCGCTTCACGGACGACGGCCTTGGTCTTGGCCTTGCCATATTTATCCTCGTGTATCCTTGTTTATCTTCCGTCCATCCGTGAAATTCTCAACACCCCACCCAGACTCCAGACCTCAAAGACTTGAAAGGATCCGACCTCGGCCTTCTCGCGGTGGTTTTGATTTTCCCCGTTGTCCACTTTTCGACTCCGTGTACCCACAGTTGGAGCGGGGCCATCGTGCCATAATAATTCACCCCAGAGGTCTCCCATACGCGCACATCTATACACATGGTAAACCCTTTCACCGAAAATTCGTACACCAACCTCAACTCGCCCCCTCGAAACATCGGTGAAAACGTTGTGAAAAAAAAAAAAAAAAAAAATTACCCGACTTACAAATCCAGCAGTTCTTTCAAAGTTTCCCGTGAGACTCGCGAACAAAACACGAGCACATCAATATCTGTACAGATCATGCGCAACAACGACCGAACGTTGACTGATTTACGGACGTTTTACCACCTACATATTTTCTCGCCCACTCCCCTACCCAGCGTTGGACGGTCGCGTTAACGTGGTTTTTTTTTTTTTTTCGCCCGCAGTACTGCGACCTGGACGAGTTCCTGTCCGAGAACGGATTGCCGGTGGAAGGCGACCAGCAGAACGGGACGAGCGCGGGCAACGTGAACCCGGGCACCGTCGTGGCGGCCAGTCACCAGGGCGGCGGCGGCGGCGCGCTGATGCCGGGCGTGAACGGGCGACTATCGCCGCCGCCACCGGCCGCTATACACCCGATACAGCATCTGCAGACGAACGGCACGGGCGGCGTGGGCGCCATACTGACCAAGCGCGAGCCGTCGCCGTCGCCCAGCGAGCCGCTCAGCCCGATCACGATCAATCCGCCGTCGCCCGCCGATTCAAGTGAGTGCACACACACCACCGCGAACGGTTTTGACGACGTTTCTCGAACGCCTGTTGCGCTGTCGATGTTCTCACGTGCGCGTTCCTCTTTCGCGCGTCCAAGAAGTTCGCGGGACCGTCTCCGCCCAGCGCCCGCTCATCCCTCGCGATTCCCCGTGAAATTCGCATACTTCCCGCGATCCGTTTGCCCGTCGTCCGCGATCGTGTTTGCACATTTATTCTTGCGCGCGAGAAGCATTGTTTTCCTAACCCCTGCTTCGCATCCGAAAACGAACACTTCTGGTCGCCCCGATCAACTTGTTCGTCACCCGATCTAGGCACGCGCGCGTACGTACGCGTCCGTAAGTTGTATCTGAAATTTCAAATCGATTGCTATTGCGTTTCCGTCGAAAGTCACGACAATCACGATCATCAGAATACCAAAAATATGTTGTGCGACAAAACGGACTAACGGTTCGCTTGTGGTTTTTTTTTTTTTTTTACAGCACTGTCGTTCGCGTCGTCCAGCAGAGACTTCGACCCGAGAACAAGGCCGTTTTCCGACGAGGAGTTGAAGCCGCAGCCAATGGTAAAGAAATCAAGGAAACAGGTGAGAAGGGCCTCGTTAACTTGATTGGTTTATTCATTATATTGTCACTAATACCGCGAACCTATTCGCGGTCCGAGTGACATCCCACTGACTTTAATTTTTCATTAGTTTGTGCCGGACGGGCTGAAAGACGAAAAATACTGGGCAAGACGTAGAAAAAACAACATGGCTGCCAAGCGTTCGAGAGACGCGAGGCGAATGAAAGAGAACCAAATTGCGTTGAGAGCAGGATTTTTAGAAAAAGAGGTACTTTTGCTCATTCGAGCCCTGCTGCTATATATGCCGAACGAAATAGTGAAACGATCGAATTAAAATGGCGTAAAAAGACCAATACCGCTGCATCGCGCTGTCCGAATTTCCAAATCTAACCCGATGTACAAATATTGTCCACGAGCTGCGGCTTGTTTCAAAATACCTATTAGTGAATCTCGGGTGGTGCGGTATGATATCGAAGTCATGTTTCGGAGTTAGGTATAATATTGTGTATGAACGCTCGGAAAGTCCAACAAATGTATACGTGTTACATTTCTAAATGTTATCGTTATGAGCTTGCGATATGAACATTACAAGAACAATAACCATCACGTGTCTGTTTTATTCTCGTCGCATTAAAAAAAAAAAAAAATACCTACTACCGATCACGTCGATACGTAGTAAGATTACCGTTTTATAAATCATTTCAAGACCTTCGTCTTGTCTGTGCGCTGGTACGATTTTTAAATAAATCAATCTTCAATATTATAACTCATATTTTACAATCCATTGCCGTACTGCCCAGATCCCCGAGTGTATAACACACATACGTATGTATGTGTTATATTGGACACATCACACAAATCTTGTAAACGACGCGCGAGTGGTATTTTTTTTTTTTTTATTTGCATATCGTTAGAGCATTTTAAAATAAATGTTATATAACACGACTCATTGTTTTGATTTTTGTAAGGAACGCGTAAGACGTGCACCGCGGAAAATGATTATTGAGCTCTATAAATTCAGTGAAATAAAATCCACCTATTCATATATATACTTTCTGATAGTACGAAGCGTCATCATATGCACGCACAATATTATATTGCAACACATGTTGCGCACTGTTCTATAATATTATAATATTCAAATCTCGTTGTTGGTGTTTTTATGAATTTTTTTGCGAAAAATATTCCATAAAAACCGCCTATCACGCGGATAGTTTATCATGCGATTTTACTCGCATTCGAATATTGCAGTATATATTTTACGGCAGCAACGATGACGCAATAAATTTTTCATACAAATATCGATCGATCAACATTTTTCACCTTGTACGGCGAGATACGAAACACGACTTGATGATACACAAATGTTTTAAAATTGCATTTGCACTGGGAACAACCACTCCGCCCCTCCGTAGCCGGTCTTTGAACAACTAATTTTTTTTTTTTTTTTTAAACAAAAAAGCATTAACTTGTATACCATCGTTTGTTCGAAATACTTGTTTTTATAAACTATATTGCGCGTGTATACTGCATTTGAATGACTTCTTGTACTTATGGACGCCCTTGTCTGCGTATTGTTATCGAGCAGCGGAGTGCGTTTTGCGCGAAAATTGTGTTTCTCCGACTTAACTGTATAGTTATGGCACGCGCATATTAAGCGTACAATTAATACGTGTTCATGGCGCATCATAGATCGATAAATAATGTTATGCAAGTGCATGAAAACGAATTACAGGTCCCCACGGGCGATTGGCTTTTTCGCTAAATTCGACTTTTCTGTTTAAATTAATCACTTAATTGTGAATTTGATTCAAAATTTACGTCAACCTTGAAGATTAATTTTATGTTAACTACATGTTTCTGTGGAGGGCGGGTCGTGACTCCAACCCCCCTGGTTGCGCCGTTGCACGTAGTACTCAATTATTATACATCTAATACAAAAAGTTCCGTGGTCAACGGAAAGATCGAATATAGTGAAAAATGTCCATTGGCTTGATTTTTTTTTTCTGCTTTTTTCTTCATATTCATACTCGTTTGCCATTATCATCCGCTTTGTTAGAGAAAACCGCTTGTTTGTGCATCGTAATACGATTGACTATTATTAATACCGGAACGTCGTTGTGTATTACTCGTTACAGAACATGGGCCTCAGACAAGAGATGGAACGCTTAAAGAAGGAAAACTTGGCTCTGCGAGATCGCCTTTCAAAGTTCACGAACGAGATCTAGAATACAAATCATGCGGATTTCTATAATATGCACACCACACACACACACACACACACACACACACACACAAACACACACACACAACCCTTCGTTATACATATATGTATGTATATGTATATATTTAATGTCCTGTGTTTTTGATCAATATGAAATATCTTACACCCGAGGAGTATATAATAATATTTATCGTAACATATGTACAATATTATATAATGTAATTTGTTTACCGCAACGTCGACCGTCGAAGAACAACACCCTGTATATAAAAATATATATGTGTGTTATGAATGTAATATTATTTTTTTAAAAAACGACGGCTGGAGCGTATACATTATAGATATACAAATAACGAGTTATAATAATAATTATCATGGTATTGCGATATCATTAATACCTACTACGTTGTAGTTTACGAAAATGCATATTATATATTATACCATACGTACTATTTAATATTATTGTAATAACGCAACTGATCTCAATTCCAAATACGAAAGAAACATTCCAAACTCTTACCACAGGCATAGAATCCGATGATTACCACTTGATTACCTACTACCTTCTTCGTTGGACGTCGTCGTCGTCGTCGAACAATTATCTAAAGCCTCGATAGTGGGAACGAAACGAATTTGGCGATACAAGAAGCACCGGATACAATATATATGTATTTGTATATTAAATTATATATAAATATGCATATTTATTTATATAATATACACACACAAACACATACAAAGGTCAATTTCTAAAATCTTAATTTACAATAGTTTTTAAGTATATGATAATATGTATATGGTTTTTGTTGTTCTGTACATAAAGTAGGTCTACAATTATTAAATTATTAATTATATTATTATTATTATTATTATTATTATTATTATTATAAATCGTCCTATTTATATGTTTTTATAAAAATTAAATGCGTGTTAACCTGACATATTATATTAATATAGTCTTGATAAGTAAATAAAACGAAACCATATATATTTAATAAACGTGAAAAAATGCATGTAAGATGAAAATAACGATTATAAAGGGAAAAAACATAGGATTTTAATTTTTTTTTTATCCTAATTATTTTTATTAATCGCGTTGGTCTTTGATATACGCCGAAAATCGATCCTTTTAGGCGCAATTTATTTCATCACAATATTGTTAACCATTGTCGTTATCATTTTTCTTTAATGAAGTTTTGAGGGATTTTTTTTTCCAATTTACTTACATTCATTGTTGCGTCAGATTTTGTTTTATTTATCTATGCTTCCAATATTGTATAACATGTCAATTAATTCATAAGATCATCACAAATTAATTATTATTTTATTTTGATGTATAGATTTCCCTGCCTTACCCCCTTCCTCCTCCTTATTATTAATTTACAAATGTTTTTAATATGTTTAGTTTTACCATTATTATTTAATTGTTTGGTTAGATACTTATCTTTTTCTTTATTTTTCTTTTTTAGCAATTAAGTGTTGATTTTTAAAAATGTTTATTTATAAGCATGATTATTGACAGTTCGCTTATTGTTTCATAAATTAATTAATAAGGCTTTAGAATATTAAGGTATTTGTTCTAAGGATCATATTTGATATTTTGTGAATAGTTATTTTTTTTATAATATTATAATAATACTTAATTGTAATTTTGTTTGAAAAAAAAACAAACGTATGGGTCAGGGCTGCTGTAAAATTTTAACTTTTTTTCTTTCATATATATAAACTTCATTTATATATATATATATATATATATCTAAATAACATTATTGTCAAATTATAATTATTTCCAAAAATGTTATTGTTTGCATGAATATACACAAAATGACCATTAGCTTATCATGTTATTGATTTAATTACAATATAAACTATTAGTATAAAAAGTATTTTATTTTTCAACAGTAAATATTGGACTTTTTAGTCTCAAAATTAAATTTACAAAAATATTTATTTGTGATAACTGCCAAAAAACAAGGAAACGTGAAGGTGGGATGAAGAGATTCAAAGAGTAGTAACGAATAAGAAAAAGCAATTTAATCTATCACAGAAAAGAAGAAAAAGAAAGGATTGAATAATGTATAAAAATGTATATAAAATAGTGAAAATTGCGGTAAACAAAGCTTAACAGGTATAATGAATTATATGAGAGGCTAGGAACACAGAAAGAAGAAAAATAAATGAATAGACTGGATAAGATTAGAGAAAAACGATTCAGCGACTTTCAAAATGTTTGGTGTATAAAAAATGATGAAGATAAAAAAAAAGAGATGGATAGAATATTTTGAGAGATTACTGAACGAGGAGTAACCAAGAGAAGCTTTAGAGCATATTTCATAGAATGAAGGATTGATTGGTTTAGTTAGTGAGAAGGAAGTGAAGGTTGATGAAAAAGAAAAAAAGTGGTAGAACCAGATGAAGTGCTCGTAGAGGCGTGGAAAATCTTAGGAGATGTAAACATTGGATGGCTTAAACATCTTTTTAATAAGGAGTTAGTAGAGGAAAAAATGCTAGAAGGTTGGAGAAAGAGTTTAATTATACCAATATTTAAAGGCAAATGAGACATACAGGTATGTAGGAGCTATATAGGAATAAAGCTGATGAGTCATAGTATGATGATTTGGTGAAAGATTATAGAGGAGAGAATAAGAAGTGAAACATCAATATCAGAAAATCAGTTTAGTTTTATGCCAAGAAAATAGACAATGGAGCCATTATTTTGTATTAGACAACTAGTAGAAAAGTTTAGTGAAAAAAAGAAAAAATTATGCATGGTGTTTATAGATTTAGAAAAGGCATATGAAAGAGTGACAAGAGAAGTTGTAAAGTGGACATTAATGAGTAAGAAGGTCCCAAAAACATTTAATTCAGGATATGTATGAAAGCTCAAGAACTAATGTAAAAGAGTTTGTGAGGAGTAATAAAAAATTTTAACGTAAGGATTGATGTGCATTAGAGGTTGGCTTTTATTTGTTCTCTATGATAATGGATGAAGTCACGAAATACATAAGGGCGAGGTATCATGGTGTATGATGTTTCCTGATAATATAGTTTTAGTAGAAGAAAATCTGGAAGTTAATAGGTTGGATGAGTGGAAGTTAGCCCTTGAAGGAAAGAGATTGAGAATTAATAGAAATAAAATAAAGTATATAGAGTATGGTTTTAAAGAAAGATACCAAGAAGTTGTGGGTATGAGAAGACCAAATGACATTAAGTGATGTGATAGGTGAAGTCGAGAACTTTAAATATTCAGGTTATTAGTTCAGTGTATTAGACGGTTTATAAGAGAATAAAACAGAATATGAGTATTATAGAAATGAGAATGCTTAGATGGATGAGTGAAATGGCAAGAGAAGATAAAATAAAAAACGGATATGTGAGAGGTAATATTAGTATAACATCCATAATGGACAAGATGAGAGAAAATAAACGGCAACTGTTTGGGCATGTTATGAGGTGAGAGGAAACAAAAGCAGCAAGAGTGGTTAGAAAATTAATGTTAATGAGAAAAGAGGAAGAGGAAGAGTGGAGGTTTAGAACAAGGGTGGCCCACCTCAAATAGTTGGAAGAAAAGAAGATGTATTTGTGTTAACTCTTTGTTCTTGAGTACATCAGATAACAATTATACCTACTGACAAAAATACCTAGTAAAAGGTATATGTATATACAAAGAGTTCATTATTTTGATAAATATTTAAATATGAGCTAAGTACCTATTTGATAAAAAAAAAAAACTCAGATTATGCGAAAATAAAATAAATATTAATCCATTAATGACAATCATAAAGTAATAAAACGTTTATACACTTATTTAGTTATTCACAGTTTACTGTTGTATATTATGATATGTCCTTAACAGGAAAAATATTGCAATGTTTAGTTGTTAACTTTTAAGTAGTCAGATACTTTAATTTTAACCTTTTATTTCAATCTCTGTCTGATTAAAGCATTGGTTAAAATAATAATTACATAGATCTCTAAGTGGCACTTAGTAGAAATGAAAGAGGCACATACATTTATCAAAGTGATACTCATGTGGGATTGGCTACCAATTAACTTTATTTAATTACTATTTTAGCATATTCAGACAATAAAATAAAAAGTCATATTATATGGATTTCATTCAAATATGAACTAATTTAAAATTACTAAAAAAGAATTTAATACTATATTACTCAAAAGTTAAATATATAATTTTCTGATGTTTTGCCAAAATTTACTGATTTTTGTTTTTATATATTCAACAGTTAAATTAAAAAAATAAGTTTCATCTCTGTATGTTTTATAATAAATAAACATAATATCATAACTGACAATAATTAAATATGTTAAAATTTAGGTATCTATTTAAGTATTAGTAAATTATTTAATATAAAAATATAAACTATAAGAAAATAACCACAATGAAAAACAATGTAACAAAATTATAAGTCTAAAAAATAATTAATTTAATTTAATTAATCAATGGCAGTTACAGTCTGGTCGTTATAAGTTTCAGAATCTTCAACATCAGAATCATTTAATTCTAAAATCTAAAAATGGATTAACATTAAATACTCAATGTATACAATTTATGTTCAAAAAGGATTTACTTGGATATTTTCAAATTTATTCTTAAGATCTGTTAGACCAGTTAAGTCTTCTAAATAATTGGGATTTCTAAAAACATTCAATAAAAACTCTTCTCTGTTGTTTAAAAAATCATTCACTACCTAATAAATAAATAAAAAATAATAATAATAATAACAATTAATATCAAAAGAAATATAAACTAAGAAAGTATAAAACAAAAATCAAATTTTAAAAATCACTTTTAATGAACACGCAATGCACTGAAAAAAACTTGGAGTACATGGCATTATCTGCTGAAAATCACAAAGAAATCCTCTTATAGAATGAGGAATAACTCCTAAGCAACTTGTGGCATTTGCAGGTGCATTATATCTAAATAAATATATTATGTATTAACAATAATTTATTGGATATAACTAGCATTATAAACATACTTTAATTGAATACATGACACAAATAACTCAACCGCCAAAGCTCCTGCTATGGAAGAAACACCAGGTCTGGTGACTGTACACTGTTGGTCCAATGTCCTATCTACAAGTGACTTTATAAAAATAATGTTAAAATTAAAATTAAATAAGAGTAAGCAAATAAATAAATATTTTATTATTTATTAAAACCTACATTTCCTGGTGCTGTGACATCATTACAAAAGTAACAGCCCAGTTTTTTTTCATTGGTAGAAACATCTTGTACTACAACTCCATGTCTAAGTACTAAATATGAGTCAAATCCTAATGCTGCAGTTATGGCTAGCTAGAAAATGTATATACATAAATTAGTTCATTAAAATATTATGTTCCAATAATAAGCTGAAACAATTTAAAAATAATAATAACCTTATTATGTAATGTAGATAACATTGTAGGTAACCAACGACTTTCTCGAGAATCTGTTACTAAAAATATGACATCATGATTCTCTATTAACTCGGATAATAAATTTATGTTTTCATGATCATCAATGTTTGCTGCATGACCTGGCATAGGAATACTCATAACCACACCCTTACTATTCTATAAAAAATCACATAAATGGTACATTTTTAAAAGAAATAATAATTTTTTTAAATTAATTTAATATCATAATGCTAATGATTTATAAGATACAATATAATTTAAACATTAAATCAAAAGAATTTTAAAAATGAATTAAAATATTAATATAGGAATATTATAAATATTATATTTCATTTAAAAAATGTAGTTAAAAAATTATTATGTAGAACTTATCAAAAATTATCTTAATTTAGATTTCAAACATCATCAATCTACATAATATGAAACTTACAACGTTAAATTATTTAAAATGTTAATAAAAATAAAATAAAAGATATGTATGCAAAAATAAAAGCTTTCAAAATATTTTAACGATACCAAATATAAATGAGAATAATCAAATTTTTATATTTCTTAAGCTAAAAAAATGTACATATAAAAATAGTTATAATTTGTTAATACATTAAAAAACGAAAAAAATAACATTATTCATATTATTTTTATTATTTAGGTATCATTTCTTATATAAATTTCATGTTATGATTGTTATGGTTGATGGTGAAATTTTAAATTGGTGACAATATATAGATTAGATAGTTAAGTTATGTAAATAAAAACTAAATAGTTACAAATTACTGCTAAACACAATAATGTGAGGCTTAAACAAAAAAATGTATGTGTGCATAATATATAGAACTTGTATTATTAATAATTATTTATACATACAATTTCTGGATATATTTCACGTAGCGCTTCAGCAGCAGCTGTAGCTTTATAAGTATTTGCATTTATACAATGTGCATGTTTATATAATGACTGTCTCACTGGATTTGAATATGATACTTTACCGCTATCAATAAATGTTATGTTGCGTACACCCCATGACTGAAAAATCAATAGTTAAACTGATATAAATTTGCAAAACAATTTATTATCATCAAACCATTAGATTTCTAGCAATACAACAACCAAGTGTACCAGCACCAATAATGAGACATTTTGATTGAGCAATAACATCCAGGTTTAAATCAGGTGCAATACGCCATTTCATTAACTTAAGATTAAGATCTACTGATTCCCTTGCTTGTCTAAAAAATATTGTTAATGATAAATATACAAATAGTTTTTAAGAATGTTGCAAGAGTACTTTAAAAAATAATACAAACTTTTTAGAATCCATGGTTTTACTGAGATCTACATATTTAGGACAAAAAATTCCTTTAGAATTTTTCTCCCAGCCCACAAATGCAATATCATCTGGTTGAAAACCCATTTCAATGTTGGCTAAATAATAAACAAATGTAAACTCAGTAAGAATTATTTTTACCTTATGATATTAATATATTAATAATAAAACTTACAAGATAATTTAATATTAAACAACATGCTTGTTGAAAATTTACTAGTAGGAGAACCTCGTAGAGCTATTACTCTTAATACTGAATTTCTAATAGAAGGACTATAAGAAAAATTTATTATTAATACAATAATTCCATAAATATTTTACATCAAAAACTAATGGCATCTTGAATTCTGCCATTTTACATCATTACAAGTAAATTTTATTAAAAATAAAATTTTAATATTATATTTACAAACTTACCAATGTAATAAAATCAAGTAAAGAAGATTTCGTAATGGCCACCCAGGATTATTTAATAAATCTGATGGATCAGCAAACACTAAATAATTAGTAAAATCATTTTCTACATTATTTTGAAGTACATCTATGTATTGTTTTAAAGTCATAACTTTAAGGTTTCCATCATCTGTGGATACAACACCAAAGAATCCTCTTTGGTTAATGTTTAAATTTTGGAAACCAGAAACCAATAAATCAAACTAAAATAAAATGATAATAATAATAAAATAGAAATAAAATGAAATAAAATTTAATTTACTTGAGCTGCAGAAAAAGTATTTTTAAGAATAGTAGGTGTATCAGTCAGATAATACTTTGGATTAGCTAATGATGGAAAAGCAAACCAATAGTAAAAAATAAACTTTTTCAAATCCTAGAACACAAATAACTTTTATAACACAAAAAAAATAACATGAATTATAAAAATAATGTAAGAGCAACTTACTGAATACATAAGTATATCAAAAACTGGAATTATAGATGGGTCTTCTATTGCTTTACCCGAACGGAAATCATTTAACATACGTTCACCAAACTCTTTTAACAACTCATTTTTATCACAATTTTTAAATGAGTCTATAGTATTCTTGTTCAAACAATGACCATGAGCAATATATTTAGAAGATGTTTCATAATTAACTTCCCTATAACATTAAAATTGTAAAATATATTTATGGTTTTAAAATTATAATTAAAAATACATACTGGTTAAAAGATGAACAGTCCAATGATACAAATGGGGAACTTTTTGAATCATAATATCCTATTAATGATCTATGTACTTCTTCTAATTTGTCCACATCCAATTTCAGTTGACAAACTTTGAACCAAAAATTAGGATCTAAACAAGATGAAAATGGCTGAAATCGTAATAGAGTTCCATCTCCCACCAGATTGTCCATATTTTCAATGATATTTGCTGTTTCTGTAAATGTATTATTAATATTCAATTTTAACTGTAATTATAATAATAATTACTTTAATAGTAGTACAAAATATATACCTGATGATGTAGACATTTTAAAAAAGGTTGTAACAATGTTTTTTTTATTAAACTAACTTTATTTACATTATTTCATATTATTTGTTGAACAATATAATTATACATCTAAAAAAATATAAGAAACAAATATTAACAACATATAATAAAAAAACATTCAATATGAACGATAATAACAATAACAGTGCATATAATTATGTATCATTTGCTTATAGAGTTATGTCAAGGAAATATAAAACATTATACGATAAAAACAAATTATCTCAAATGTTAACAATTAATTATCTAAGCCAGCATTCTCAAACTGGTGGTCGCACACAATCTTTTTAAGGTCACCAATACATAAAATAATTAGTAAGGTTTTTTTTATAAATATCATCATGATTATGATAATTAAGAATTACAATTGATAAAAGTAATAAGAATAAAATGTTATATTAATCATATTAATTATATTAAGTTATCATTACTTTTTTATGTTATCATACTACAATTTCGTTAAAATTCTAGGTGACATTATAGGGATTCGTGGCCAAATTATTGAAAATCGCTATTCTAGACCAGTGGTCGGCAACCCGTGAACTCTTTAATTTGTGAATGTGACTCAAGGCTACAAAAAGGTTGCTGATCACTGATCTAGACATAAATGGATAATTAATATACATATAATAGATACGTACATAGTATTGACACCTTAGAAAGATGGCAGAACCGGAGATGAGTAATGCTGATAAGCGAAAACAGAAAAAAATAAATAAATCAAATTATACTAAATATACTTATGCGTATAGCTGATAAAAATTAAAATATAATAATAAAAGGTAATGCAATTTGAAAAAAAAAATGTTAATTTAATCATATATTTTATTGGATATTAAAAAGTACAAAATATATTTATTTAAGTTTAAAATCGTATTTAACATTTATTGTTGCACATTTCAATAATTTTTCTTGTTCAGGATTTTTCAAAAATTGCAAACATTTTTGACAGTTCATATTATAATTTAATTTGACACATAGTTCTGATTTCACCATTTCCACTGATAAACAATTTCTTTCTTCAGACCACAAATTTTCCATCAAAGAAAATACACGTTCTACAAAAGCATTACTTATAGGTATGAAAATATTTTTCTAACAATTTTCGGGAGTTTAGTGAAATTATATTTTTTTAACAGCAATACCCACATTAAATCTGAAGATAAGTTCATTTTTGAAAGCTCAGCCCACACTCTTTGTACATTTTTTATTTCGTCATAAAGTCGGTCTTCTTCAATATTATTTAAATCTAATAGGTTCATAGATTTTATTGCTTTATTACACTTAATTATTTTATTTTTTAAATTAAAGTTCAAAAACATCTTGAAAATAGAATCGTTAAAATCACAATATTTTCTTAAATAATCAAAAGTCTTTTTGTACACTTCATAAGCTTCTTTTTTGAACATTGCTGGCTCATTTGATTGAAGTGATGAAATACTTTTCACGACTTTTGAATCATTAAATGAATCATTCAGGCGATTCTCAGTTTTATCTTATAGACCTAGCATTACGTTGTGCAAGTCAACAGAAGTTACGGAATTTGTTTCGAGTATTAATATTGCCTCACTTAGTATATTCATGTAGTGGTGAATAAAATACAAAAAGCATTATGGTAAACTTACTTTACGAGACAAATCAGTAATTTCTGTCAAGTCAATATTTTTCACAACTTTCGTATAATTTCATGACACGCATCTTCTCCTCGGCATTCAATATAAGATGAAACATGAAAATTAACAATAACATTAATGTTTAAAAAAAAAGACGGACTCACGTTATCATACTGGTCTTGCTGCGTTATCGCTGGTTCCTTTCGCTTCTCCCATCGAGATAAAGAATAAATTCTGCACAGTCTACATACGGCAACGGCGTGTGGTGATAACAAGCGTACAGACAGCTCCCGGCGAACATCGATACTGCTTAGGCAGACGACAAATGCGACCAGTGACTAATTTTTCGCGAATTCAAAGTAAGACGACATCCATTCCGTTCCGCATACCGTCTGTGAACTCCCAGTCATGGTCAACTGATCCCACGACAAGATTATCATCAGCACCGCCACTACTAGCATCACCACCAGCTTGAGAATGCACAACAACAGGACGAACGACAAGATATCGTTTTCGTTCAACTCCAGTGGACGGTCGTCATCCTCGTCGCGATCGGTGGCCATACCACCGCCGGCTAATAGCGGATTCAGCAAGCAGGGATACTCTACTCTGAACGCGATCAATCACTCGGCCATCACCACTACATGGGGTGTACCCAAGAAACGAGCGAAAACTGAAGAAGAGTAAGTGCTTTGCCAGATAACAGACTTATTTTTAAATCTTTTTGTTTTATTCGTTCGTTCAGGTACTTTGAAGATGAAGACGAACAACAACATTCTCAACTTGAATACATTCCTGCGCCTGATAGTCCCACTAACAAGAAATCTGAGTGTGATTCCGATTCGTCCGAAGATCCATTAGATGCTTTCATGGAAGGCCTGGAAAAAGAAGTATGTATATAGTATAAGTTATAAGCCTTACAGAGGTATTCTCTTAAGATTCACATCCATTGGTCCAATTTTTTTCAATGTTTATAAACCTATACAAATAAGTGCTCAATTTATGTGAAAATAGAATAGTTTTAATATATTATTGTCTTTGTTTAGATTCTATGTGCACAAATGTTGATAGATTATCGGAACAATTTTTATACGTCTATCAACAATTTGCTTTTATTAGAATTCATATTTTTAGGTAAAGAAAGAAAAGACATATGGAAAAAAAGAAAAGAAAGAAGAAGAAAAGGGAATTAGACAAGATATTGAAGAAGAAGATGTAGAAGAATCATACTATAGGTGTGTAAAATATCTTTTAATGTGTAATCATTTTATAATGTTAATGTAACATAATTTTATGTAAACTATATATAGGTATATGGAAGAAAATCCAAATGCTGGTCTTGTTGATGAAACCTCGGACATTGAAATTGATTATGATGAAGATGGAAATCCTATAGCTCCACCAAAGAAAAAAATTGGTATTCTAAAACTAGTTATACAGTTACTTCAACTTAAAAACAAATTTATTTTACTGAATCCCACTTTCTATTCTAATTTATTAATTTACATCATATTAGTACACAGATAATTTGTTTTTATAACAAATACTGTCTATTTTCAAAAAATTTTGGATGAGATAAATAATTTTATTTTAAATATTATATAAGATTGAAATGGAAAATTGATCAAAAGGTAATGTGTATTTAATTATTCAAGTCGTTTGCTTAAAACAACTTTTTAATTTATATCAAAATTGTATCTCTTATATTAATGAAGGACTTTTCAATTGATTTAATAAGTTATATTTGACGATAGCTCATAATTTAGGTTGCTTACAACTTCATATAATAATTAAATATGCATGTTTTTAATTTATGTATAGTATTTTGTGAGTATTAGATCTTTATTTGCAATCCTGATAAATTCATTATTTATATATATTTTTTAATAATTTAGGTTATTAACTTTATTCTTTAAACTACTAAATTCCTGAAATAACCTATTGAATTTTTATTTTATCTGGAAATTCCTTTGATTTATACCTCATTGAAATAGGTACATATAAATTTATATATATGCATTCGGTAAATTAGATTTTCATCTAAATCGTTCAATTTTTTTTACGAGTATTACTTTTGTATTTTTTAGGAAATTGATCCATTGCCTCCCATTGATCATTCTTTGATAAAATATAAGAGTTTTGTAAAAAACTTTTACACTCCACACAGTGAAATATCATCTCTATCTGTTGATAAAGTAATACAACTACGTAAAACCTTGGGTCTTCGAGTAAATGGAGCTGATTTACCTTATCCAGTCACATCATTTGCTCATTTTAATTTTGATGATTCCTTGATGAAAGCCATTCGAAAATCTGATTATACACAACCGACTCCTATTCAAAGTCAAGCAGTTCCTGCTGCACTTGCTGGACGTGACATTATAGGTAATGAAAATCCTTTTATTAATGATGTATGTTATTGGCTCACTGAATGATATTTACAGGTATTGCTAAAACTGGTAGTGGTAAAACGTTAGCTTTTATATGGCCTATGTTGGTTCACATAATGGATCAACCAGAATTAAAAGAAGGAGACGGACCAGTTGGTTTGATACTGGCACCTACTAGAGAACTTTCACAACAAGTACATTTGATAACAGATTAAAATAATTTTTATTTTATTTATATGTTTCATGTATTATTTAGATTTATGTGGAAGCAAAGAAATTTGGAAAAATCTATAACTTAAGAGTAGTGTGTTGTTATGGTGGAGGTTCAAAGTGGGAACAATCTAAGGCTCTTGAAGGAGGTGCTGAAATAATTGTGGGTACCCCGGGTAGAGTAATTGATTTAGTTAAAATGTCAGCAACCAACTTGACCAGAGTAACATTTCTTGTACTGGACGAAGCTGATAGAATGTTCAATATGGGTTTTGGTAAATATTTTATTGAGATAGATAATATTGGTAAAATATTATTTTATTAAATGTTTTTAATTTCTAGAACCTCAAGTACGTTCCATTTGTGACCATGTGAGACCAGATCGCCAAACATTGTTGTTTTCAGCTACATTTAAAAAGAAAATTGAAAAATTAGCGCGTGACATACTTACTGATCCCATAAGAATTGTTCAAGGAGATGTTGGCGAAGCAAACACTGATGTAACTCAAATTATGTTGGTGATGCCACAGAGTGATAAATGCCAATGGCTGTTGGATAACATTGTTCAGTTTACATCAACAGGTTCCATTCTTGTGTTTGTTACTAAAAAAGTTAGTTATAATTCTAGACCTGTTACATAAATGTACATTAAAATACATTTTTAAATAATTTATAGTTAGACGCTGAACAGCTAGCCAGCACATTGACTATGAAAGAGTATGAAGTATTACTGTTACACGGTGACATGGACCAAGCCGAAAGAAACAAAGTTATAACAAAATTCAAAAAACAAGAAGTAAACATAATGGTGGCTACTGATGTTGCTGGTACGCATAATTTTCAATTACCTGTAATAATTATTGTGATAATTAGGGCTCAGATCTTATAGCATTACATGCTGTTCAAATAGGCTCTTTACTGTGATCTCATCAATCTTTCTTAAGTTAGCCCTGATGTCAAACTCGTGAAAAATACAAACAAGTAAAATGTACCTTATCTCTAACACCAATTTGGTTGTAATAATACATTTATAATAAAATCATAATATATTTTGAGTACACATTTTAATAAAAGCGGATTTGGTTGATATTATGTTCTTTATATAAATTTAACTTACGTGAAGTTCCCCCCCCCCTTTGTCCTATCGGTTTGAAACAAATAACAAATAATTTCAAATGCAATTTTAGAATTTGTAATTTCTAGGAAATTCAGGAAATCAAAATTTTAAACATTTTTATGATGAAAATAATGAAGATATATTGTATTAGTAAAATTATTAAGTAATTATCATATCAATATTTCGAATTGGGTAATATACAATAATTGTAATTATTAGGGATGAGCAAATAATATCAATATGGGGGGGGGGGAAACTTCAAGTATATATGTATTTACTATGAGAACAAAATTGTTGTTAGGGTAACTGTAAATTTTACTTATTTGTATAAAATACAAAAAGTGTGTCAATGTATCCATGTATTGCGTAGATACTCGACGATGAGTATTATTATTATACAATATAATCTTAAATTTATTTCAGTAGTAGAAATTAAAATATTTGATAGAAGTTAAAAGTAAAAATAAATATTAACATAAAATTATAAACAAATACGATCTTAAAATTTAAAATGGACTATCAGATTTCTCTCATTATCTAACAAATCTGCAGTTTACTATGTTGTTTTATATTTATTTGATAATATATAAATATTACAAAATCCAAGTCCTAGTGATATATACATATTAACTATGATCTCAATTGGTTTTTTTTTTTATATATACAGCCCGTGGTCTAGATATAGCTCATATTAGAACGGTCATAAATTACGATATAGCTAGAGATATCGACACACATACTCATCGTATCGGAAGAACGGGTGAGTCATGTCAATTTTATCTAACACTAGCAGAATTATTTATTGATTTAAAATTCTATCATTAGGTCGGGCGGGAGAAAAGGGAACAGCATTTACCTTAGTCACGCCAAAAGACTATGAATTTGCTGGTCATTTGGTTAGAAGTCTTGAAGGTGTTGGACAAGAAGTACCCAAACCACTTTTGGATCTTGCTCTGCAGGTAGAGTATTTCTATTGGGTTGAAATATGTCTCAATTTGCCTGGACATTCCCGATTTTTAATATACTTGTCCTGCTTCAATTCTTAGCAGGACGTGTATTTTATGTTTTTTTGAATTTTTTAAATTTTTGTTCCGTGTCCCATCTTACAAGCAAGTGGGACATCAATATCCCGTTTTTTTTTTTTTTTACAATTTTACATTTCAAAATGTTGTCTTACAAATTAAAAAAAAAGGAAAACAATCCCAATATTATATTACTATATTATTATTATATTACAAAATTTTATTTTTGAATGAAGCAATTTTTAGAGAGTGCAAATACTACTATTCCCTGATGATAGTAAATATTTTAAAATGTTGATAAAATAATTTTAGATGTTCGAAATATCTTGAAAATGTAATACACTGTTTATGATATGATTTTCTTATTTCTATAGAAAATATTGAATCAACAGATTCAATATTTACTTTTTTTATTTAAATATTTAGTTTTAAAATGTTGACAAAACTTGATCAAAATTATGAAAATATGTAACTTTCTCCTAGTTATAAAATCATAAAATTTTCAATATTAACACTTGAATTACAACTGAGTACAAGATTCTTCTTAAATGTAATTCATTACATCACAATCCTAGTTATACTTATATGCAATTTTTTCTTTGTAAAAGCTGGTTAAAACAACTTGCTTATGAAATTATTAGATACTTAAGTAATTTTAATAATATAATAAATTGTAATGTATATCTACTATTTTTACATATAAAGACTGATCTACATGTTTTTTTTTTGCTCAGAATCGTTTTCCAAAACTAACAGTATATTGATTTTACAGTGCTACAAATGTATAAGAATAATTTTTATCACTTTTATCAATCTCTTCTCTCTATATATATATTTGTTATTATTATCATATACTTTAATTAAATGTGTATCATCAGGCCATGTTTTGTTACTGTTTCAGAGTTCTTGGTTCAGAAAAAGTCGTTTCAAGGGAGGCAAGGGTAAATCGGTGAATACTGGTGGTGCCGGACTGGGATACCGAGAACCATCTGGTTCTAATAACTATTCTGTTAGTAATATTTGAGTTATCTGAGGCTATTAAAACTATAAATTATGTATATTTTAGGCATCAAGTTCGTATCAATGTCCTAAACCTGCAGCAGCAGCAGCAGCAGCTCCACCAAAAGCTGGTCCTGGTTCAGGAAGACTGATGGCATTGAAAGAAGCGTTTAAAATGCAGTACCAAAATCAAGTGAGTTGCAAGGCAGCAATCATTTGCTAGGATTTTGATTTTTTTAATATAAACTTACGCTATGTGTATTTTAGTTTAAAGCCAGTGAAGACCATACATGGGAACAAACAGTAGACTCTGGCCAATCAGTGAAAGTACACACGGGTCCATTAAAAGAACGAAAAGCCAAAAAAAACCGATGGGACAACTGAATTTATTAATAAGTAAAAATATTTTTCATGCTTTGATCTTTAATCTATATCAATAATAAGACTTAAATAATTTTAGTTATTTGTCTTTTTAATTTTAGTTGCAATTTTCACTTTGTTATAAATTTAGTATCTTATAAGACATAACATCAACTACTTGTAATAATTGTATATTTAATTGCCATCAGAGACGACAATAATAATAAAACATATATTCTATAAAAAAAAAATTTAAAAAAATAATGATCTGTTATACTTTTAACTTATTAATATTGACTAAATGTATGCAATTAAAAACATTTCAAAAAAATTTTGTCAATTCCTTAATTAGTAAAAATATTATTGAGTTATTTAAGAATATATTTTTTTTTTATTTGTACTAAAATTGCTCCATGATACTACATTGAATATTTTATTAGCATTTATTCTTCTTAATAATAAATTATTACTGTCGGTTTATATTCTTTCAAATCAATTTAGTATTAATTTTCATGTATGAATTGAAATGATACAAATATATTTTAATGTAAATGTGACTATACAATATTTATTTATTGATATGTCTGTATAATTGCCAGAGAATATTTTATAAGTAACATTGTTACTAGAGTTATAATTCTTAATTGTTGTAATGAAGTGGTTGATCAATAGGAAAAATGCTGACAGGAATTTTAATTGGTTTCAAATATTATTTTAAATCTGTAATGATTTAACTCATACATTTAGCTTCTTTTACCATAATTTTCCAATCCTTATGTGTGAACTGTTAATAGAAAACTTATTATCAATTTCATAATAAATTAACTCCTATTTACAGAGTTGTTTAGTGTGGGAAATGTGAGGATTTTCTAGATCAGCAGTTCCCAAACTGTGAGACACAAGGAAATTACTTACAATGTTTTTTCAATTACCATATATTTATTTTTAGATCATGAATAATTTGTTTTCATTTAAATAATAAAAAATTTGTTTTATTTATTCATAGGAGGTGCACAATTAATTAATTTTTGATTTGGAGGAAGCATGACCCAAAAAAGCATAGGAACCGCTAGGCTAGGTGATAAAATAAATACAATAAACTATTTAAGTTTTCTAGAAAAAATTTTTAGTAAAAAAAAAAAAAAACAATCTTAAACGTGATCAAACTTAAAATTATGAGTTGTATAAAACTAAAAAAAAAAAAAACAGGATTCACTTGTGAAAGAAATACTTTTATGCATACTATTTTTTTCCATCATTAAATTAAAACAAATAAATACTTATAAATATTAAATAGTAAATATTATACTACTAATAAATCTAAGGTTTTAAGAAAACTTTTAAAACTTAAGATTTTAAGTTAATAAATTATGATTAAAAATAAATAAAAACAATTACTTAAGTACTGTTGTATTGAACATCAGAACTAAAACAAACTTTTTTTGTATTTTCTCCTGGTTTTTGTTCTTCATCTAAGTTTTCCAACATAGAGGATGTAAAACTGAACTCTGATTCATCACTGTAATTAAAATTTTATTAGACAAAAAAAAACAATCTAAAATAGTTGATTACTCAATGGTATAATTATAATGAATCCTTATTAATAGCACATATTTGGATAAAATATAAATAAAGCAAGAGCTAAAAAGTTCTTAATCTGCTAGTTATATTCATTTTTATAAATTATCACTCAAGAAAATTTAGGCTCAGACTAAACTATAAGTGTTTAATTTACGCTATTTTTAGATTTAAATATAGTTTAAAGTTTGTTAGAAGATAAATAACTCACCATGTGTCTTGTGTGTCTAAAGTATCTAAAGTATCACTTGAAGCCACAGAATTTCTAATAATCTTAGATGGTTCCAATTGAAATATACTGCAAGTACCTTGGAAATCATTTGTATTCTTCAAAAATATATCACTACCGCCTAAATAAACAATGTATATTGTATTAAAAAATTAACTAATGTATGTTTTTTCAGAATTCAAACTTAATTTAATAAACACTTAATAGTAAACTTTTTTTACCTAGAAGTGTAGGATGATTAATGTTTAAAACTACTTGGTCTTTGGGTTGTTTAGTTGATGTAATACTCCATGTGTCTTCATCAATACAGCACGACTGGGTGATTTTTATAATAGAAATTTCAGATTCAGATACAATTATTAAAAATGGTTTTTTGAAAGCTATAAAAAGAATAATTATCAAAATTGTATAATGATTATGACAATATATGGATTACATACCAAAACTATTTGGGCTGTATGGCCACTTCATTTCACCACTACGTGTTTTTTTGCCATCAGCATCAACAAACACACCATACACATTATAACATAATAGGTATTCCTTGTTTTTTGTTAATTCACATACAAACATTGGCCGATAATCATGTGATTTAGCAATTGAGTCTGTGAAAAACCCTAAAAATCAAATAGTTATTTACTGAAACAACAAATAAAAATAAAATAAAATAGCTTACTTTTACAGCTGAAATTTTCTATTTCAATTTTATAAAAACTATTGGTAGTAAATATAATTCCAGTAGGCATAAAGCAAATACATTTTGTTGAGACATTGGTTTTTAGAATTTTTGTTACAATAAACTGCGTATCTTGCCATTTCAAAACACTATAAAAAGTCAAAATAATAATAAATTTAATTATGAGGACGCAATACCCGTGTATATACTTTATCTATTGTTTATCTAATAAACAATACAGAAATATTTCATAAAAGACTTTGCCAAAATTAATAGTTTAGAACATTAACTACTTTAAAAAGGACAAAACTTCTGTGATGCATAACCTTTTTGTAAAATAAATATTTTTGAACAAATAAATTATAGTATAAAACATTATGTAAAAATATGGGCTAAGATTAAAATTTTTCTGAATATCTCAACTATTAATTTGATAGTAAATTTTAATAAATAGTATAAATGTTGATGCTGTAATATTGATTTTGTAAATTTAAATTTTGAATATCACTTTCCCCACTAAAGTAACATTTCTATACTTACGTAATATTATGTTCAGAACCTATAGCTACTATTTCATTACATCGAGAAGCAGAAATACAGTTAACTTCTTTAAGTTCTGACATTGTTAAACCACTTTTGGATGGTTGACTTTGGCGAATTTCATCTATGATCCGTACTACTTCAATAACAGGTTTTGACATAATACTTAATTCTGCATTAAGAGTTACAGTTCTCATGTTACATTTTAGAATTTCTTTTGTGGATCCTAAAAAATGAAAATAATAATGAACAAACATACACACACAATAAGATATATATATTTTTCTTAATCTAGAAATTATAATAAAAACAAACCAGCTATCATTAAAACTAATTGTAGTTTAGGCAGAAAAACAATATCTTTAACTAATTTTGGTCCAATTATAGGGATGAGATCATGTTTAATTTGTTCATGCTGAGTTTTTATATGAACTGAAAATAATCCTTCAACAGCACCCAACAAGAATACCTGCATAAATTAAAACTGTAATTATTAGTCTAATTACAAATACTTTAATAATAACTGTAAAATAATTGAACATACACTTTGTGATATTTGTTGAACACAGTTAACATTAATAAGATTATCCTTCTGGAATGTGTAAATAATATCCTTGTAGTCATGATTAGGTTGTGCTTGAGCAATACATTCACTGTTTTCTAAGAATTCTCTAATTATATTTATCCATTTTAATTTTTCAGACACGCTTGATACAATTATGTATAAAAATAAAGTCATCCACCCAGAGTTCAAATTGTATACTTCTATTTTAAACATTTGGTCATAATCTTCATTGGTATTTTTATCAAATGTAGAATCATTCGATTCTGCAATATCAACAACTTTAACAATGTTAGAAGTCATCATTAATGGTAAAGTATAGAATGATTGCTTGTCATATTTATCATTAAGAATTTGTAATATCCCGTTTTCAAATTTTGCATACTTCCGATCCCAAATCTGTTTTGTATTGCTAAAAAAAATGAATATAACAAGTTATTTTATGTTGTGATAAAAAAATAAAAAATAAAATAATGATAGATCTAAAAAGATGACAAATTAGACAAATTATATCAATATGAAACATAATTTGCTAAATTAATATTTAATCCTGCATACTCAATTAGAGAAATTATAAAAATTATTACTTTTAATATACAAAAGAAAAATAATAGAAAACAGAATAGGCATTTTATACTTACTCCCAAATAGTCACCCATGAATCAATTTTAGATGTTTTTTCAGAGTCATTAATAACAGGTGCAGTAGCTATTTTTTCTTTTGGTAACGGAGTACAATCAGGTCGTAACTCATGTGAACAAGTTACATGTGTTGATACTCTACATTCTTGACATTGACTAATTTGTTGTCCATTCATAATTTCATTTTTGCAGTATGAACATTGTAATCCACCACGTTTGCATATATTTACTTCAAAACTAAAAGATTATGAAATTGTATTAACACATTTTATTGTCGTTTCAAGCAATAGTGAACTTGCCTATGAAATACTGCAGAATTAGTAGATTTATTGTAGGCAGGAGAATTTGATTCAAAATGAAGACGAGTAGGTGCTAAATGTGTTGTCAGCGGACCTTGTGTCTTTATCATATTCAATTCTGCTTGAGTCTGATAAAGTTTAGTTGCAAGATCTTTAGACTTACTTCTTTCAGAATTCAATAATGATTCAATTTCCTAAATTAATTTATAGTATATTTTTTAGTAATATAACAACCAGAGTAAAAAATAATAATAAATACAAAATTTAACTACTTTTTGGTCAATATTTTCTTTATTTTTACCACTAAACAACATATCACCAAGAGTCCTCTTTTTTTTTGTTACTTCATCAAACTTTGTTTGCAAGAAATCAATAAGCTTTGTTTGTTGAAGAATAGTAGCATCTGCTTTAATTAAACGTTCTTCATAATATACTTTTTGTTCCATTATACCATTTTTATACTTTGAAATAACATTTTGCATTACCTAACAGACGATAGTTAAAATAAAAAATATGTAATCATAGATATTATATATTGGCTAAATTTCAACTCACATTTGAATCTTCAACCATAGCTTCTAATTGAGCAGTTAATCGAACATTGGCTTCTTTCAAAAGTTGTTTTTGAGTAATTATTTCAGAAATTTCAGTCTTAACTCTATTTAATTCTTTTGTAGCTTTTTCAGATTCAATTTGCAAGGTATAGAATGTAGTACTTTTATCTCTCAAATTGGAGTTAACTTCATCTAACTATGACATACATTTAAAAATTGCATAACTGCTCATAACAATTAATATTAAATAAATACCTGTTTTTTCAGTGAATCTATTTCTACATTTTTTTCATGAACTCTATCGGTTAATAATTTTAATTCAGCTTTAACATTATCTTGTACACATTCCATAGTTTTACCTCTACTTTCAGCTAATATACGCATTGATTTTTCTTCGTTATACATTTTTTTAGCTTCACGTAATTCATTACGAGTTTTTTCGTTTTCATTCTATAAATATCAATGTGGTTAATACTAGTACTAATAATATTTACTCTTCAAAATAAATAAAATTGATTTTTTTTTTTTTTTAAAATATTTGGTTAACGATTCAGCGTTTTATAATATATTTTAAAGAACTATTAATAGTACTTAATTAATATATATCATATTTATCTTTACAAATTTAACATTTTACAACATATATATTAGGTATTGCAAATTATATAAATAAATACATTAATTTTATATATTTATTAATTTTCATGTGTGATCAGATATAAATAAAAACTATTAATCCATATCAATTATTAAAATGTTTGACTAAAAAGTTAAAAATATATGTTTAAATGCAATTTTATTGATTTATATAAAGGTTAAATTATCAAATAGGTACTTTTATATAAATAATTTTCTACCAAACCAATATACTTATAAAAATAAATCATAACCATATATTTTTATTAACAAATTTTGTAATTATTTCAAATAATATAATTTATTTAATAACTAAATGCTATACATAAATAATTGAGTGTTACAAAAGTTTTGTTTTACTTAAGTCATTATGCATATTTTTATTTATTTTTTAAATTAAAAAAAAGTTTAATTATTTTATTAATGGTACATCTAATTTAAAATAATTGTATACCAACTTGTTTAATTTTAATATCATCCAATAGCTGTTTTTCTTTATTTTTTAATGTCAAAATGGTATCTTCAAATCCCTCAAGTTGCTCATCTTGAACTGTAATCAGATCTTGTAATGTCTTAATATTTCTTTCACTATTATTAAATTTGGTTTTATACTCTAAAATCTAAAATAAAAATTATTTTTTTTAGAAAATGTAAACAAACATTTATTTTGTTTTTAAACATACTTGTCTTTCAAGAGCAGATTTTTCACTATTCCAAATCTTTGATTCATTATTTAACTTAGATAATTCTCCATCTAGTCTTTGACGTTCAGCTATTTCTTTTTCAAGTTTTAACTGTAACGATTCTAAATCTTTGTTGAGATTTTCAATATTATCCTTTAGTGTTGTCAATTCATTATCTTTATTTTTTATCTGCAAATTAGTTTCTTCTTGGATTTTAGCGATTTCCTGTTTGAAATTATTTCTTGAATCTTTGTGGTATTCCTTAACAAAATATTATAGTAAAATGTAATTATTTTGTACTCTAACAAATATTTAATCGTGATTACATATACATTAAGAATAACTTACTCTTAAACTTATAATAGTATCTTCACTTGTTTTCAATTTTCTTTGTAGTATCCTTAAGTCTAATTTTAAATCACGAATTTCCTGTTCTCGATTTTTTAATTCAGATTCAAACTAAAAAACATTTTACACAAATTTATATAAGCTGTTGTTACATTTGAACACAAAGTGACATTTTAAAATGCATACAATTATATTATTCACTTTTTTTTTTTTTTTTGTATTATGAATACATATAGTCTTTTCAAGTAATAGTAATCAATAAGTAATGATTAATGATAAATTTTTGGAAATTAATTTAATCAACATATTCGCTTTGACCATAAAATTATTTAACTAATTAGAATTAAAATGTACCTCTTTTTCAGTATTTTCTTTTGTAGAAATAGCAGTTTCATGTTTTTCAAATGAGATTAATGATTCACTAAATTGTTGTTGCATCTGGGCTATTCTAGCATGTAACTTTTCAATTTCTTTATCTTTTTCTTGATTAAAAGAATTTAATTTAGATTCAAAATCAATTGACATTATTTTACATTTGTTGTTATGTTCAGAAATCATAGCAGCTTCTTTTTTAGCAAACTCAGATACCTACAAAAACAAAAATTTATTAAAACAAAGTAGTAGGTAGGTTAAAAAATACATTTTAATTTTTTTACTTTTGAATTCAAATTATCTAAATCTTTTTCCATGACAAGAATTTTTTTTTTAAGACTTTGATTATCAATATTTAATTGATTTTTTTCAACGCCAAAAGCATCTTCTTTAATTTTTATTTCATTCATTAATGTAGCAACTTGATTATCAATATTGTTTTCTTCAGTTAATTGTTTCGAATGTCGTTCCATATGCCTCAGTTTTGATTTATACTTTAAAATTTTTTTTTGAAGCTGATTTTCTGTGGTTTGATAACGTTTAATATCTTCTTGATGTTTAGATAATCTTAAATGTATAAATAATTAAGGTTAAATTAATTTTGTTTAATACTATTCAAAAGACTAAGCAAAAATTAATAAATAAAAACTAACTGTGATTGTAATTCTGTATTCTGTGCTTGTAAATCTTCATTTTGTACTTTTAATTCTTCAATATTATATAATTCATTCATTGTTTTAATTTCCCATTTATCAATCTCATTCTAAATTATATATACATATATTAATCAAAGTGCATTAAGATTTAGAAAATAAGAAGTCATACTTTAACCATTTCTGCTTGTTTTTTTTCTATAGTATTAATATCTTCATGACTAGTGTCACTAGTTTCACTAATTTTAGTCAATCTACCTAATTCACTACTCAAAGAAGTCACATCTACTTGTAATACAACATTTTCTTCTTCCATCTTTTTAATCTTTTTTTCATTTTCAGCAAATAATTCATCATATTCTGCTAATTTTTCCTCATAAGCCTGAATCAAAACTTGAGCATCCTCTAATTCTTTTCGTTTATTTCTAATAGATATTTCTAGTTCAGGGTTATTAGACATAAAATATGATTGGTTTCGCTTTGATACTTGCAAGCTATAAGTAAAGCCAATGAATGGAAGTTCTCTACCAGAAAATTGTTTTTGTTTCTACAAAAAACCAAATTAAAATTTTCAAACATTAAACATTGAAAAAATATTTTTCATCATACCTTTAAGTCGTTTATATTAAGTGCTGGACACACTCGTTCATGTATTGGAAAATTAGAAACATCATTATCAGATGAAAGTGATGGAATATATGGGGGAACTTGATCTTGTAGAGTGTTGATATTTATTCTTGAAAAAATTTCCAAATCTAACATCATATCAACAGTAAATCTTTTGTCTACATGACATACCAAACATTCAATCATTTGTTTATAAGCTAAAAATAAAAATAAAATTAAGTTATTGAACTGAAAATGCATTATTATATTTAAATTTTCCAGGAAATTTTCAAAACATTTATAAAATATTTTTATTTTTTTTATACCACAAATTTTCAATAAATTACTTACATGATGATATTTTCTGTAAAGAAGGATACTTTACTATATTGTCAAATTTTAATATGTTTGAATAAATAACAGCTTGTTGCTCTGAATTAAAAGGTGTATCTCCAGTAACCATTTCATACGCAACAATACCAACGGACCACAAATCACATTGAGGTCCATAACCATCCATAGTCTTTAAATTTGATTGCATAAACTAATGAATAAAAATAATAATTATAAACTTTTAACCTTGTTTAAATATTTAACACAATTTTACCTTTATTATATTGTGTGTATATATATATATAGACATATGAAAAATGGAATATACTTTGTTAAGGATGGAGTACTGATTTCTTAAAGCATTTTATAAAAAAAAATATGATAAAGAAAAATTAGTTTCTAGCAAAACTTATTGGACTTAGCTACTTAGAAATAATAAGGGTCCAGCACTCAATTAGAGTTAAAAAAAAAACATGGAGGCACAAATTATATATTTCTCATTTTTATTCACATAATCTACTTTCTGATTTAAACACTATTTATTTTATTTTTTGTTTAAAATTTTAAAAAAAAACTGATCAAAGTAAATACAAATCAAGTTTAATAATCTTGGTAATAAATTATTTAAAAAAATTACTTTTGTTTAGATTGTTATAAAAGCTAATTGGTAACAATTAATATAAAATAAAATTGTTGATAAGAATTACGGTTATTCTATATTTTGCATTTTACTTTCTCAATATAAAAGTACATTTTTATGCATAATTACAGTTTAATATAATGCACTAAATATGTTTGTGGTGTATTTTAAAAAATAAATTGATAATTTCTTAATATTTTTTAGATACTACTTTAACTGCTTAAAAATATTGAGGGAGAAAATAATCACTCCAGTAAAATATAATTCTTGCAATTTGTAAAATATGTCATTAGAATTTATGCACAGAAACTCAAAGTTTAAAAATTTGTTAGTTGTGACTGGTTGGATTTAATTTTTACATATTATTAATTATTATAAATTATTTATTATTATTATAATATATTAAACTAATACTTACTAATAAAACTTCAGGTGCTAAATATTCAGATGTACCAACAGGCATACGAGTGCATATTTTTCCATCACGGTTGAGTTTTGCTGAAGAACCAAAATCAACTAATTTTAAATGTCCAACACGATCCAGCATCATATTTTCAGGTTTAATATCACGATGAGCAAATCCCATAGTATGTAAATGTTTAACTGCTAATAAGAGTTCTGCAATATAAAACCTAACAGAAAAAAGATGGATAAATCAAAATCTCTATACATCCACAGCATAAAATTATTTACTTTGACATTTCTTCTGGCAATGAACCATTAAATTTATCAATTAAATTGGCAAAATCACCCCCAGGATGATAGTCCATGACAAGGTAGAGATTTTTAAAATCTTGAAAAGCATAATGTAATTTTGTTAAAAAGGGAGAGCTTGAAGAAACCATAATATCTCTTTCATATTCAAAAAAAGAAATCTAAAATAATAAATAGATAAGTAAATTCACAAAAATAACACATAAATATTTAATTTGTATTACATCTCGTTTGTTAAGCAGATTTTCTTTTTTTAACACTTTCATGGCAAAAACATCTTTGGTATGTCTTTCAGTGACTAATTCAACTTCTCCAAAATGTCCTTTGCCGATTACTTGTTTAGATTCAAAATCATAACGATTGACTCTAAGAGACTTTAACTCTGGTATAATCATTTTAACTGAAATAGAAAAACATTTGGTAACTTATAAATAAATGTATTTTTTATTAAAGTAAACTGTGTACTGATCAAGGTATTTAAAATATGTTTAACGCTTAAACAATTCAATACCAACAATGTCGATTACCAGAAATTAATTATATAAGTACTATAACCTACATTATGCTTCATGTTCTAAATAATTTACAATTATTAATTGGGATTTAGAAATTTAGACAAAATAATATCAATATCATACCAATGATTAATGTATAGAAAAGCTAAAAAAAATAAAAAAGTAACCATAATATCCTGAATTTTCCTTTATATAAATTTGACTAATTATATTTATATACATAATTATCGAAAAAAAATACATTATTCTATACATAGGTAAAACTCATTGAGATTATATGATATAATTGTGGTAATAAAAATTATAAGATATATAAATTGCATGATGTAATGTTATCATAAATTCAAATAAATGATTCCTGTTGGCCCAAAATTAGAGGGAAAATACCGAGGTATGGAAAAGACTAAAATTAATTTTGACTTTAAACAGTTACTAAAAAATGAAACCAATCCAATTAAAGAATATCTCAAAAGGGATTAATTTGATGACAACGTATTGACATCGCGATTTTGTGTGGAACAATTACACGTTAATACAGACTGACTCACATTTGTTTACAAAGTTAGCAATAATCGAATTTGTTTTCATGAATTCGTTGTTGCACTCATCAAACAGCAGTATGAACGCATCGAACAATAATTCTTTGTTCAAAGACGAAGTGGCCATTATGGTCGGACCTGCGAGCATATCATTAAGGCGCATAGACCGTACAGATATTGATTCCGCAGCTGGTTCCATTGTGACGGCCGATTTTCACTCGAAAAGTAATCAAGGATTTAAATATCTTAATCTGCTAATATCACCATAGTCTTGAAATTTTTTTCAAAATGTTAAAATGACAACAAGAAAATAATACACGAGAAAATAGAAAATATGAAAAATAACGTACTAAAGAACACGGCCACAAATTTGAATTTACTAAAAATTTACAATGTCATTTCGCAGTACTCAATGTTCGCACTATAATGAACAGTCGACGACGAAAAAAAACCGTTAAACCGAACAACATAACATGGAGTATGAAAGCATCTATAGCGCGATCTGACAGCGTAATATTCAACGAAAGATAATTTATTACCGTTATCAATCATTTTGTAACCGCCGTTTTTATTGATAACACATCAATATTCGAACGAGCGCTTCCCTGCAGTAAGGCATTTGGCTGCCTTATCATAAAAGAACGTTATCATAGTTTTATAAATTCTTTACATTTGATGTATATAAATTATATTATGTCCTAATGTATATGGTAGGTAGGTAGTAGAGCAAATGAATAGTTGCAATGGATACTGGAGTGATTAAATATAATTACTTTATTACATATTAATTACTAGAAAAATGTAGTTATTTTTTTTCAAAAATGGAGTTAAAGGTCTTAACTCATATTATAGTATGTAACCTAATAATACCATATTTTATCATTTTGCTCATCTCTTTGTAATTTTAGTTTTCTTTTGGCACATCCACTGAGAGGTGCCATTTTAAAATTAATTTAAATATTAAATATATAAGATAAAATTTATAAATATTATAAATTGTACAAATATTAACGCAGGTGACGTTAGCATAAGTGCGGCGTGCGCTGAATGTGAATCTAAGTGCCCAATCGGAGACCATAATATAATTCTATATTTCTATATAAATCAATATAATGACAATACCCTCGCTCAAAGTATTTTAAAAATAGACATACAAGTACACCGTAGTCACTGTCTAGATAAGAACAACTTGACATTGTAGTATAGTACCGGTATTTAGCTATAAGTAGCAATTATTTCCTAATCGATCGTTTAAATTTAGTTACAAGTTACATTACTTAGATTATAATTAAAACCCCATGTATTTGGTTTTATTTGCGTTATATTTAGGCAATATTAAAAATTTGGTAAAAATTAAAAGTAATCATATAATAATGAGCCCCTCTCAATACTTTAGGTGGGCCGGCCTAAGACCGGACACATACGAGGGTGGACCAAGCACACCCTGGCCCTTTAGCTACGTGCCTGCCTACCTACCATATATATTAGGACATAATATAATTGATATTCATCAAATGTAAAGAATTTATAAAACTATACATTATAATATACCTAATAGTATATTAATATATATCTTTTAAATCAAAAGAGATCTTTTAGCTCCTACATTTTACATTTTACATTTACATTTACATTTTACAATTTGAAGTTATGATAACGTTCTTTTATGATAAGCCAACCAAATGCCTTATTGCGGGGAAGCGCTCGTATATTCGACACCTATGTAAATAACACCAATAAAAAAAATAAAAAATGATTACCGTTTTAATAATATTTACTTATGTTACGCTAAATAAATTGTTATTATTTCAAATCGATTCGGTTATTTAACGAATAGAATAGTCAATAAATATTGTTTATTGAAGAATGTAGTGTATATAATTTATCATCGGCTTAATCTAGCCCTACGCAAATCTTTCAGTCTTAACATTTTTGTAAAAATTTTAATAAACATGAATATTGTGTGTATTACATACATTTTATTAATTATAATTATATATTTTATAATACATTTTCTGGTATTTTAACAAGTTGGTGTGTATTTATGATTACATGTTTCGGTAACATTAGCTTTAAAAGAATGTTTTTTTCTAAGCTGAGCTGATTACAAATTACCTTTGCGACAGGATATCACAAGAACAGCTTACCAATATTGCTGTTTTAAATTTTGAAAAACTTTTATGTGGATTTCTATAATTCACAATTTTTCAAATTTAAAAGCCACATTTTTTTTTTTTTTTTTTTTAATAGAGTGTAAATATTTTATGTAAATTTTTGTACTGTGAAAATTGTATAAATAATAAAAAATATAAATGAAACATCGTGTATGCTAGTTCTATTAATTATAATATTTCCAAGTTAGTTAACTAATAGTTTTTGCCACATAATATACAATAGGTTTTAAATAAGAAAATGTTAATAATATGAAGGTTAGGTACATTGAATTCCTTGATATTTTTCTCGCTTCTGGTATAATAGTTAAGAGTACATTGTTCATTACAATAATAAGCTATACTTTATTTGAACTTCAAATTACCACCCCTTCCCCGAATAAGACTTATTGGTTGCTAATACAAAATGCATATGATAAATTGTCTTTTGATTTCCACATAGGCCTCAAGTAATTTCGTGGCGTAGCCAAGGGGGGCTATAGCCTCCACCATGGGCCGTGTTTATATGTATAATGTATCTTAATGTATCTATGTACTAAACTATTATACTACTATTTTTATTTAAGTATTTTAAACCTTTGGTATTAACTAAATTTTGACGATTAACGAATAACAGGTGGGGGGTAAAGGGTGAATTCTCATATCCTCTCTCACCTTACTTATCCAAAAAAGTGATTAGCCCCTCCCATTTAAAAATCCTGGCTACGCCACTGCGTTAGGGCACTGGTCTAGAGAAACTGTTCCACTCAAAATTAAGGCATTAACTACTTATCACATACTTGTAACGCGAATATCTACTGGACCTCACTTCAACACGTAGAATATAATTATGCAAAAATATATAATATGGAAATAATAAAAACCTATAAAGGAAAGCATGCATCTGTTACTTAAAGATCCCTCAACAGTAGCGTAGTGAAAGGGTTTTTATGACGCCTAGGCTTCATGGTGAATGTTATGGGTGGGTGGGGCTATGTGATTGGATTTAGATGTGTTAAGATTTCGGACGAACACAGTGAATTTCCAAGTTCAAACATAAATAAATATATATATATATATATATAGTCGATAAAAATATAACACAACAATTAGATCAAAAATTTTGTATTGTTGAAATTCATTTTAGTTGATTTCAACCATTGATTATAGAATAAATAGATGGGCCGTGGTATAGGGAAAATCGGAGACTAAAATTATAATATTAAAAGTTCCTGTGAGATAGCATTGTACCATTGATTAAATATACTATATTAAATATTAAATATGTATATTTAATCAATGATTGTACGAACGAATAAATATTTTTTCTTGAAATTACATTTTATTATTTTTGTTATCATTTGTCCGTCGATTATGATCGATCTTGACGGTTTTCCGGCATTGCAGCCTATTTATACGTGCACATCGTGGTAGCAATTACACGAGTTTCAGTAAACACAGATTATAATCTGTGATATTTCTATATAGATACATTGGTTGATTGACTTATCATCGAAATTACCGCACAACGAAATATCCGTATACAAAATAATATGAATAGAAGACATAATGGAAGATGATATTGAAAAATTGGAATTTTCTTTATTTGGTGGTTTTATTACATTTGCATTTGCTACCTGACATTTTAATTTATGAGTTTGTCAATAACACACAGTCACAAATGATACAAATGTAAAACACACGTATAAAAATTGAAAATCAGGTGACAATATAATATTAATCAATAGTATCGAGATTCCATCGATAATAATATGAGCAATATAAACAATGGTATCTCAATTTCCCATTTCATTTGAACAAATATTCTATTATTAGAACGACAGCGACTCCTGCACTTCTCATCAATCTATGATAGAGGTACCACTTTAGCGTCATAATCTACATTAGCACTTCATAACGATCGCGTCACAAAAGTGGTAGCCAATTATTATCATTGCATGGGCTATTTATCTGTTCTATAATCAATGATTACAACATAAAAGAGGGAAAACCTATTACAATTTGCTAATTTGAAATTTGAGTAAGTAAAATATAAGTAGGAAGGTAATTCAATCTTTAATTATTTTTAGTCTTCTTCAATTTATATTTCTGAAAAAATATCAATGATGGTATGCCTGAGAAAGAGGTGGGTGGGTAGGTATTGAAATATATGTTGTGCATCATGGTTTATAAATGTTCATCACGCCACTGTCTCTAAACGCGTATGACGAGAAATACAACTCAAGTCTAACCACAAGTACAACGTGTTTAAATAACGCCGCAGATTATTGTACCAGCTGACAATCGAGCCGAAATGTCGAATGACGAAGAATTATGGGGTGATGATGATGATTTGCTTGGTCTCGAGCGGATGGTGTGGAGAGCGCCTATTTGTGTGATAATCCAGGTAAGATTGATTTTTAATATAATGCGTTTGACAGCCAATTTTTTCAATTATTCATCGTTTCTCATATCGATCAAATTGAAGCTACTAGAAATTTTAAAATCATCGACTCTACCTGTAAAATTCAACTTAAAATTATAAATGACTTACAATCAAACCACATATCAAAAACTCGTCCTTCCATAGAGCTTTTAAGACCTCTGCCTGGGCGATTTTCGCTGATAGTAATATTGAGAATATAGTTGACCACATGTTCTTAAAGATTTTAACCAAGAAAATACACACCAAGGCAAAGGCAGTGGATTTTCTCTCCGGGCTATTGATGGCGTATTATTAGGGACTTATCAATATATACCTATGAGCGGATCATCATCTCTACATCTACCTGTATACATCGAAAATACACCATCTATATTAAAAATAATTATTGTCTCATGATAAGAAAATATATATACAAAAATAAGTTTTAGATCGAAATGCTATAATAATAGCTAAGGTCCTTAGCTAGCACACTCTTGTCATCCAACACAGTTATATTATGTGTATCAATGGCGTCTCTAAACCCTTTTATAGGGGCGAGGAAAACTTCATAAATGTATTCACATTTATGTATTTCCCAAGTGTGATATAAATAATAAATAACAAAAATGTAAAAAAAAATGCCATGGAGGGACTGCCCCATTCTCCCTCTGATATGTATATAATTGAAGTATAATGAAATAATTTACTACTATCACGTATGATTATTCTGATTTTTGCAAATAATTTATTTTCAATAATATCCGGTTGTTATGCAAAATATCGTGGATATTATAATATTAAAACAAAAATAGTTACTTTGTGTAAAATGTATTATATAGTATTTAATGCTATTAGTTTTCACAACCCGTCAATATTTTGTTGAAAGAACATACATTGAAATTAAGTTCTATATGATTTTATAATTTCAATGTGCATTTTAACCCTAAACTCCCCTTAAAACAAGGTCGTAGATACTGGGTTTTTATTATTATCAATTTATTTACTAGTTGATATTTTGATAATGGAGGGGGTTTGATCCCCCAAAACCCCCCTTACTTATGCTACTGCTTAAATATATGATCAAATATCCAGCTGTGAATCATATAGAGTGTTATATGACTCAAAATTATGTACCAACTTTAAGGATACCGGATCTAGTTTTATTTACCTATATATATAAACCAGAGGCAGATTTAAGGGAGGTGACGTACCGATCGCCCACTTTCAGCTTTTAAATTTCTCAAATTTTGGTCAAGTTTTCATTCTACTTTATAAATTACTCATAAATATTTATATTCCCCTCCTAATCATGCTTCAAATCTGTCTATGATATAACTCATATATAAAGAATCTTACGAATTGTACGAGTTGGTATGTTACAATTACTCTTAACTATGGTCGTAACAAATGTAAAAATCAATATTCTCATTATTCAATCAACTTATATGTACATATATGGATATGTTATAAACGTTAAAAAATATAAATATTGTTATTAATATGTTTATTTTAATACATTTTTGTAAAAAATTAAATTGGAAATTTTTTTTTGTTTTTATGTGTTTTTTCTTTATATGAAGCGAAAAAAAAATTAAATTTATTATTTAAAAATTTATAAATATAAAAATTTTTTCTAAAAAAAAATGCTTACATTAATTGTTGTTTGGTAGTTCACATTTAAAAAAAATCATCAATACTTTTAACATTTCCACTGGATTAGTGTACGTTCATATATGTTAAGACACTGGGGGACGAATACTCTGCTGTTGAAGTGACCGCAGGTGCACGACACAGGTGAAGCAGTTCCGGCCGTGCACGGAACACCCGGGACGAGGGGAATCGATATGTGCGTGTAGCGTAAAGCCGCGACAAAGTGATGCTCCGGAGGCAAGTGCGAGACGCTGTTGCACGTTGACAATACAAGAGGTGCCTTGTAGCTTTGTTACGCACATTGAATAGTTCCCTATAAAAATCGAAATGAGTGAAAATAAATATATGAGTGTACAATTTCAAAAAAAATGCATACCGTGTAATATGCATAACGTACAATTTTAAAATACTGCTAAATAAAATACATTAAATAATTTATGTTAAATCATTTTTAAGTCTGCGTTCGTTTGAATTTGATTTTGTGTATCATTTTTCAGCCATTTAACTTCGTCAGTGCCCTTAAATTGTTATCGTTATACCTATTTTCTTTACTAATTCTTCGTCTTTGGTTTGCAATATGGCCTCAGAAATATGAACACCACGTTTTATTATAAACGAAAACCAAAAATCATAGCCTTATTAACATCGGGATCTTTCTCTTTCCTATAAATATTTCGAGGTATCGCGTGAAATGTTTTCTCCTTTGAGAATTTTTGCAATTTTACAATTGTTGACTTCAAACCACATGATTATTCAGAGATTTGACGTTGTGAGAACAGGAAAAACCCGACAAAAACGTTATAACTTTATGGAAAATCACGATTTTTTTTTCACTCTTGAAAAAACCTTTTCAATGAATATTTATATAATAACTAGCTATCCCGACACGGCGTTGCCCGCGTATTAGTTGGTTTTTTGGCATTTTCGTAGGCCATGTATTAGTGTTATTATGTATGAGAAAATTTAAAAGTAATAGGTAAAGTATCTAAATGTTGAAATTAAGTACAAACCAACAAATATATTTTCTGAATTTACGTCGTACCGAACTTCGCATTTTATACCTTTGAACATTTCTCGAAAATTCTATAACTTTCTTCATTACAACAATTGCAATGCAAAAAATAATATTGAGATAAAAACTATCCTATATATTTATTAAAATAATTGCAATGCAAAAAATAATATTGAGATAAAAACCATAGGTTAGGTTAGTTATATAATTCTCGGAACAATTCATATCTACACGCCGACGACGATAAAACACACACAATAGAAAAAAGGTCAGATTACAGGTAGCTATATAGATACTTGCGGTCGGTCACGGGAAAACCCGAAATACACCATGCAATTATACACATTTATTAAAAAGTTAATTAAAATATTTAAAATATTAAAAAATTTGAAAAAAAACTATCCTATATTTTAAGTTGGACCAAATTACACACGGTGTAAAAAATTTCATCAAAATCGGTCAAGTAGTTTCGGAGATTATCGCGAACATACATCGTGACACGAAATTATTTTTAGACAGTATATTTTTAATAAAAAAAAATAAATTATTGTTATCACCATTTCCTAAATATTTATTATTATATAAATATTAGGATAATATTATTTTTCAAATAAAATGCATGGTAAAAATTCACAGTTGTAATTTAACATTTTATGATTAATATTATTTATGAATAACCTAAATTATATTTAATCACCTATATTTTGTAAGATGATACAATTGTACAGTTTTAGTAAGTATATGACTTAGATCACGATTTTTTTAAAAACTATATTTTTATTAATTATATTGATCTAGCTGAGGTTTAAAATATTTTAACTATCCAACTATAATAATTTGCGACTAAAAGTTTTAAAAACACCAACATTTCTAATATTTTAATTTTATTAAATTTAAAAGATAAAATTATAATACATTTGTTGAAGTATAAATCCTCATCCTTATTGTTTAGAATATTAATAATAAAATGTTAGGCAGTTAAACAGCCGGATTAATAAATTATTCGTAATTTAAATAAATAATAAAATGTATATTTTTTTCTATAAGTATATTTTGAAATGTTTATACTTTATATTTTTAAATTTCTTACTGTCAACATATTATTTTTGAAATATTTTTAAATAAGATTGATCATTGAGGCTAATTTTTTTGTGAGAATGGCAATGAATGAATAAAGGGGTCAAGAACACTTTGTTTGCCAAATGTAATGGCAATTATGTATTAATAAAATATAATAATTTATTCACGTGTTTTAAATAATAAATTACTCTAAATATTTCAGATATCCCCTTGTTGAGTTGACTCATTGTATATTGTGACATCCCATGGGCCATGGTTTGCTCCGGAATATGAATATTAATTTTTCATTATAATTTTTCTTTCATTTTTCTTTTTTATTAATCAAAATAATTGCATTTGATATAAAAATTCGACACCAGAGAGTTCTTGGCATCGCTATCTGGGATAGTATAGTATACATATAAATAAACGTTTCCAAATCGATACTTCAAGGTTTAAAATTAAAAATTAAAAAAATTAAATTAAAATAAAAAAAAAACAATTCCAATGAAACGAAAACCGTTACAGGTTTCTTCATCATAAAATATTGGCATTGTTCACCATTGACAATGACAATTAGGACACAATGAGATGTATTTAAAGTGTATCGGCGCCAAAAAAGACACGCATCTGATCTGAATTCTCAATGGTTCCAAATATTGTGATCAAAGAAAAGAAAGCTATACATGCTTTTTATGTGATTACTGTACTCCCGAGCGTATTTAGGGGGGCGCTTTACGCAGGAAGTCGAAGATACATTTTGTGATCCCTGAAATATTGGGCATGAGCCATACTCATGGCCACAAGTGAATTATAAGTTGTGTGGGCCAAAGGGGTGATCGGTTCATTTAAACACTCAGTCTCGGTACTTTATTGGATTGGAATTCAGTTAAAGTTCGTGTGTATGTATTTATTTTCAAGCGGTATTTATTTTTTATTATTTAATTTATATCTATCTGGTGTTTAAAGAGTCTTACGGTTTTTTCCTTTAGTAAAATCACACGCTTAAATAATGGCTGATCCGGATGTAGATTGGTTGATGGATGATGACACGACCGTAGAAGAATCTGCTAATGCGGTCGATGGAGACAATTATGAAAACACACAGGAAGTCGGAGCGGTAAAAGAGGTTGAAGCACCAAAACCGCCCGCAGAATGGCGGAAGACTTATAAGCTCGCTGTGAGTAACTCAACAATATATTATTTTTAACTACGATTGACTGCAGTTAAACGCGGTTTAGTTTTCACTTGAATGTTCTACATTTCAGAATATTTTCATCGATTTGATTTACATATACGGTTGCATTTAAAATTATCTCGGTTAAATATTATTTTATCACTTCGAACGATGAAATTAAACAATCGCTCGTCAATATCAAATAGGTTAATCAATTGTATTAATTAGTTTAAAAATTATATGTTTGCATGTCACGACTATAGTCGTATATATGTTACAGTTAAGGTATTGAATTTCGTTATTTTATGAAATAATTAGGTAGGTCATGAATTACTTACAAATGTTAGTCAAAGTATGAAATCATACATGAAAATTATACTTTAAATAGTTTTATTCATAGAATATCCAGTTATTCAATACAATTTTAGTTTGGTAAATGTTAAAGTATATAATACATAAAAATTTTATTTATTTTAAATTTAATTAATTATTTATTTGTACATGCAATGCTACTGTAGAGACAGATAAACCAAAACTGAACACGTGTGACTGTAAGACTATTACTAAACTTTAAACCTTACTAATTTTATTGACAATCTTAATAATAATACATGTACTATAATAATTTTATCTATCACGATAAACGTACATGAATATTGCAGTCTCTGACAACAAGAATGTCAATTTTATCTAATTTATTGCTATGATGGACAGTAAAATAATGATATTGCAGATGTATGAATGTATCGATTTAGACACATTAACGAATTAATGCCAGAGAATGTATAAAATAACTAGTTAAAGTATAAATTATATAGATTACACCTACACGTTTTAGTTATTTTATATAATGATCTAGTTATTTTACAAACTAATTCAATACTTTAACTATAACATATGTATACATCATATACTGGCCTGATCGGACAGTATTAATTGTAATATTAATAATAGAGGTCGGAAAAATTATAGATCGGTATTGTAAAACAGGCTATTAGAAACGAATAAGTGGAATATTTTAGTCGTCTGAGATTTATCGTGATAATTTAACGTCCGATTGCAGATCGAGGAAAAGGATGCGCGCAAGCTCTTCAGGCACTGGGCCCGACCGACCAGGCTTCAGTACAAAATGCTGTACGATTACCAGCACAACTACTACGACGACTACATAAGGTACATGGACAGGCGTCAACGGGGTCTTTACGATCCAAAACCGGAGCCCCAGACGTGGGAAGAACGTGTGCTCAGGACGTGCACCAAGGACGGTCACCGACTATCGTCCACTGACTTCCCACTGGTCAAATCCAAGCTCAACGACTACATCGTTATACCGTCCGTTTGCCGCGCCGACCACGACAAGCATTATTATTATAGACAGTACTACGACCAGCTTATCGGAACACCATGGTAAGCAGTTTTTTCAACCTATAAGTATTTTTTCCAGATGTATAAATAACAATGATTGAATTACAATTTAATTTAAAAAAAATTTCGTTTTTTGTACAAATAATTTGATCGGTAGCTATTGATTGATTACCTAATACCTTTTTATTGCAAATCACATAAATAAATTACTTATTATTTGCTATTGAGTTCTGAAAAAAAATTTATACATTTCTATTTCATCTATAATAATATATATATATATATATATTTTTAATATTTCATCAATTATTTATTAATAATCTTATTTTGTATATTTAATTTGCTTACATTTTTGTACTTTTAAAATGTATACTTTATTCGCTTGTTACATAAATAAAGAACCTTTAAAATAAAAACGAAATACTCAGAATTAGATTCATGGTAAGTGTTTACATGTACCAAACAATTTTATGACTAACATAAAACTTATTTGTATAGTACTCAAATATAACTAATCTGAGTATATTTTTTACATCTTGTACGGATATTGTTTAGGTAAACATCTCACAAATGTTTTATTTATATTTATTTTTTCCTTTTTTTAATTTTATTTTTCAATAAATGAATATTTGTGCAATGCGTATACTAAGAAAAAATGTTTTAGATTTACTATATTGAGCAGGATTTAATTATTTTATTTTAATATTTCAGGGTTACATTGTCAACACTAGGACGCAATCCTAATTTCTTAGACGTACCACGGCCAACCATCAAAGACCGACTGCACGCTCAAAATATCTAATCTCAAATTTTTAAATACAATAACAACTTAGACTTAAAACAAAATCTGCTGTATTATACACACATAGAACCACCAAGCAATAAAACTGAATTCTTCATCTTATTTAGTGTTTTATGAATTAAATACCCGTACACACTTAAAATTTTGACTTTTCAATCGATTCTATATTGTACCATGGCATACAATATAGTACATATACAAATTATATTATATTTATGTTAACTTATATTTACAAAGAATTGATTGATGCCATCATGTGTTCAAATAAGTTATAATGAATTTAATTGTTTTATTTGGTCCGGGATTGATGTTTGATATTATATTATATGATTCTACATGCAAAATATGCGTTTATTATTCAACACGCATTTCTGGGTTCAAATTTTACAAAACAAACTAATTGACACGTTCAATAAACTAGAACTGTTATGTTGAACAGTTTAAGTAAACAAAACAATAAATAAACGTAAATAAAATTACTTTATACTCGATATGTTTTGATTTTTATTTTTCTCAGGAGAAAAATATATAGCTACACAAAGCATTATATACATACTACTCTTTGCTGCTATTTCTGTTGTTGCTGGTACGGGTTTTATAATATTGTTTTACGTGAAACGTTAAATACCGGCTCGTATGATATAATTCACAGCAGCATTTTATATATAAGATTTAAATATATAATAAAGAAGTATTATGAAAATAACGTTATGCAGTTCAATAAAAAATTCTTGACTATTTAATATATTTCGACTATTCATTACACAACACAATATAATTTTTCACTCGTGGCATTAGACCGTTAACACAATTAAACAAAAAAATACGTGATCGAAAAGATAGTACAGTATTTACATGACTTAATATTATAATGCCGATTTGAACACGATATTAAGTCGTACACTGTGTACATGTATTAAACATTTTTAACCGACGTCGAACACCGCGTATTATTATAATAATATCCGTTGTAAAATATGTATTCCTAGAACTAAATACAAATGCAAAATAAAAGAAGACGAAGGAGTATAAGAAACCGAACACAATTCGACGCCGTTGACGTATAAGTCTACCGATTTCGTTATCGGTAAAAAAAAAACCAGTACAATATTTAAAAGAAAAAAAAAACGATACCGGGTAAAATAAATTACTAAACCTATGTTTGAAGTACATATATATGTATATTATTACGTACTTTAGTTTACCAGGTATTAATCAGCACGCATACGTTAAATGTATTACGCTACTAATGCCGAATTATCAAATTACAATACAATATGTATCAGCGCGTACAGAAAAAATTATTTCGGGAGAAGTTTTAGTTTCATAATTATATGATTAATATATCATTTTTACTATTTTATAAAAACATGTTTAATAATTTTCCTGAATTTCGGTAGAGGTTTGAACCCCTGCCCCTCCATGAATACACGTTTGATATGTATCAATATATATATATATATATATGACATGAAAATAAATAAATAAATAAGACTTCAGGTGAGAGTACAATACAAGAAGTACGTAAATACACATTATGTGTTATATATGCAGCGTGAAAAACGAATGTGGTCCGCCACGCGCGTATATAGTATACATAATGTATATTCTGTTCGATAAACTATAGGTATTATTGTTGTCGCTGTGGTTTTTAATCGGTTTTTATTGATTGCGTTAGAACGACACCTTCTTGGATGACTTCTTCTTGAATGAGCTGACCGACTCAGTGAGCGCCTCGTTGTCCGCGAACAGCGCTCTCAGATTGGCCGACCGCAGCTGCCGAGCCGCGTCCCGTTCCACGATGCCGTCTAACTCGTTCTGAATGTCCACCAGACGAGCCTTGGACTTGCGAGCCCTAGCCGCGGCCGCCAGTTCGTCCGCGGACCGCTCATCCTCTGCGTCCTGCAACTGCGCCTTGAACGCGGCCGACCGTCGGTTCTTGGCTTGCTGTTCCGCCGCGGCCACCACGTCTTCCGCGTCCTGGTAGAACGACTTGGTGCGCTTCTTGAATATCTCCTGCTCCAGCGCCTCCTGCGACCTGCTGTTCAGGCCTACCGAGTCCAGTACCTTGTCCGTGTAGTTGAGACGCGCCCTCGGCCTGCCGTCCGTCCCGAACCCGTTGAACGCCGACTCGAACTCCTTCTCCAGCGAGGCCGTCCGCGCGGCCGCCGCCTTGGCAGCCCGAGCCTTACGCATCGCTGACACCTGCGTATCGTACATCATCGTGAAGTGTATTGAAAACTTATTTACATTATAAGGCGCTGAGGTGATGGAGAGAGACCGCTGCAAGGATTTGTGGTATACGTGGAAGAACATGGTCCATGGCACAGTATAAGCGTGTATTGTGGTGCGTGTGCAAAAGGGATATGAAATATCTGGTGTCGAGGAGATGGAAAATAAGATTTCTTAAAAGTACGTCGAACACATGGGCGCCCGCAGGAAATTTATCAGGGGGGAGGGTATAATTAAATCAAAAACCAAAAAATATATTAAAAATTTATTCTTAGCAAACAATAAAATATGTCAGAATTATATACACTTTAGTAGTTATTAAATAAAAACTGAAATCTTCGCAATTTTTCAATTGCAAATCTTGATATTAACTGTTCAATTAATTTTTCCAGGGTGAAGGGGCAAATGCCCCATCTTACCCCCCTACTCTGGGCGCCCATGGTTGAACTAAATTATAACTGGAATCGGTTACGAAAATATATTGTACAGGTGGTTTTCGTTGCTTATAAAATTTGGAGGGGTTGACGAGATTGATTGAGACGTGTGAAATACGAACTAACAACTAATATAAACATGATTAACTGTGTTATGACAGTACATTTTCTGGGGTTGGAGATATAAAAGGAGATATTGATGGATTAATTCATCCACTCCTCGAGTATTTTAGTAGTTCCTTAAAATCATTGTCGTATTCCCCTGAATATGTATTAAAAAAATACATTACTGTACTGTATATGACTTGTTCAATACTATCACTAATATTGTCACGAAATATTTTTTTGGATGTTTTAGCGCTCACATAGGTTATATCAATGTCCCAATTAAAAATCGAAAGGATCCAAAAATCTCTCAATTTGAAATTAAATTTTAAAAAAACCTCAAATTTGATAAGTTATGAACATTGTATAATTTTAAGACTGAATCGTTGAAAAAACGCTATTCATATAAATACAACGTAAAGTATTTGTCACTCACTTCCTGTTAGTGGTGATACACACAAGGACTTATAGTTTTTAACTAACCATTTTTATTTTTTTGTTGTTTCATAAAGTTATTAAGTAGAATGTTATTATTTTCTAGTTCTAGTCACTTACTTACATACTTCAACATGTGTTAATATCATTTGTCTTATCATAATGTTCTATAGACAATTTCGCTATACATTTTTAAATTTTTTAATTCACGCAGTTGTAAGGGATTAAAGTCTTTCCCCATGAAAAATGAATTTCTTCCACTTGCATACAATTGATCGATAGTCATCAAAACCGCATACTTACCGTTCGTTACCGCACATTTTACATCGTCTAATACCGCATATATTTATTTTATTGTTAAAAAAGGAAATTTGAAAGGTCGATAGTTCAAAACCACACATATTTGGTTAATAGTTCCTTTCTCTCTGCACACTTTGAATGTAGGTACAGTTTACTTTTCCGGTTTTGTATGAGTCCCACACAAAAATTTTTTTTTATCCTGGGACCTACTTGGGGTGATGTTGCAAGCAAATCGGAGGATATTTTCGTTTTTAACTGTTCGAGCCAGTGACCCCGCTTGGTCTCAAGGTGTACTCATGTCATTTTAGATAAATGTATACGTAATTGATATGTATATATAAATTTGTGCGGTATTGAATGGTTTAATTTGGTAAAAATATGCGGGATTAAGATATAAAAGTATGCGATTTTGAACGATGACCTTTTTTTGAGAGTGTACAGTTATGAACGACCCCCACAATTGGCATGGTATGACGATGTTTAATTAATTAGCTTATCCTAATTAAAATCCTATATTAGGGGTTTACATTTTAGTTATATTATTTACTATTATGCCATTCAATATAAATCTATAATTATTGTATTATTTATATTATATTTAGGTAATACCAATATTTATTATAATATTTTTTATGAATACGAACTATTAAAAAATTAATTTGATTTTATCATTTTTGTAAATATTAAAAAATTTTATGATTTATATTCATTCTTATCGTACTGCGATAAATTCATAAAAATATTTCCTGTGGATGAAATTTACTATATGAACACAACAATATATTAATATAAAACGAACACAACAATGTATCCTAGTACGATAAAATTACCAACATTATTTGAGATAAAATTATATCATGATCATAGGTAGTATATTTTAGTATTTTAATAATCATAGTAATGAATATTAATTAAATTAAAGAAACAAAATTGTATTAAGTGATGTACGTTAATGGCATTTTAATTAAATTACCATTATTAAGTCGAATTACATATTTTTAAGTTGTAATATTATTATGAATTAAGTTACAAAAAAAAAACTGTCATTGCAATAAAATAACGAATTAATAATTTAACTAATAAATCATATACTATAGCTAAACGCGTAAACACGTATAGCTAAATTAATAAAAAAAACGTTTAAACTTAAAGTTATAGTTTTACAGAAATATATATTTTAACATATAAATATGTCTAGATCGACATTTTCGTAAATAACCTTTTAATATTTTCAAATGCATATTTTGGCACACATTTATAGAATATTGTTATCCTACATTATTTTTATATCTATTTACATAGTTTGTTAACGTTATGATCGAAGGCAAATACTTCACTAATAATAATAATAATAATGACAGTCAAATATAATTATTTATCTATATTTTCTATGTTATACCTACATATTTAAAACGAAATATAGTGGTTACTAAACCAGGATTATATTTACTCAAAATATTACCTAACAAACATTTATCACTAATCGTGGAAAGACGCATAAGATCTAAAAATCAGTTCACTATACCGAAAAACCTCCATTCGATATTATATTAGTATGTTTTCATTTTTTAGTCAAATCTAGGTATAGGTATACTTTTATTTTGAATACTAAAATTGTTTAAATAATTGATTAACTTTCTAAAATCAATACCCAAGTAATAACATAAAATATTTGGTGACATTTAAGAAAAAGATCACAATAAATATTTAAAAATGTAACATCATTCTGAATTTTAGAAAATAATAATAAGTATTTATTAGATGGTATAAAACTATTTGTTAAGAGTTTATTCATGTTTCATATTTTTTGTTTAATTATAAATATACTAAAGTGCATTTTAATATTATAAAATATATTATATTTTGTTCTATACCATAACTATTACTATTATAGTTAACATACTTATAGGTACTTTTATACTTAAATAATAGTATAAAATTATCATACAAGTCACCACATAGAAATATATCTGTAAAATGTTTGTAAATTTGCATCCCTATTTCGATGCAAACCATTCTTTGATTATTTTTACTCCCATATAAATGTTTTAAAAAGAATAATGCCAAAAATAGATGTTAAAAATACTTATCGGACTTTATATACTTTGACATCCTTTTATTTTGGGCAGACTCCAAGGTGTAAATTATACGTTTTTCTATGATCTAGTTATCTAACCTTCTTTATTATCAATTCAAAATTTACTTAAGGGCCTATAGTATGTGAGCCCTGAATCACATAACATTTTTTTTATTTTAAGTAACTTATAAGGTTTAGAAAAAGTTAAGAGAAAAACCAATTTAATATAATATAATTATATTTTCTTTAATATTTGTTGGTATAAAAAAACGTTGACCTAGCACGTGCCTAGTTTGGAATTTATTAGTAATAAAATGTTTAAATGATGTAATAAAATAAAACGGAGTAAAAAAAATAATTAAAAAACATTGAAGATAATTTTGTATCCTAAGTACGATGCATATTATAAAATATAATAGTAAATTTATGCTTAGAAACTCGTCCTATTATACATGAATATACGAACAATATTAGGTATTTAGAAGATAAATTATTTAATTTAACGATGGATAAAATTATCATTAAATTACATTTAATTTAATTCTGATTGAATACTCAATATTTACTTCAACATTAAATTAAATGGATTTAAATTATTTTTTAATTTTAATTAATTGCTTAGAATATTTTAACGAATACTATAAACAATAATGTATTCACAAATACATAGTTAGCTATTTATAAAGTAAAACATGAGTTCTAAGAATATTAAAATGTTTTATATATCTAAAAGGAATGCAATATTTAGTTACTATTATTTATAATTTTACTAGGAGCTATTGTTTATTATATTTTATTTATTATGTCTCATTGTTTAGATTGTAAATCAAATTGTCATACTAATATACTTAACGAATAGTATTGATTACTATAGTAACTTCTTAGCTATTTAAAGTTTAAATACAAACTTAAATAAATAAAACAATGATTTTTTTTTTTTATAAAGCTTAAAATATATATTAATAGCTAACTAAAAATAATATACAACTAAAGTTTGAATAAAAACATAAAATAAATATCATTAGAGATATTTTCTGTTTTAACTTTTGAGTAACAAAGACATTACATTTAATAAACCTACTTATTATTTCTAAAAAAAATTTTATTTCTATTTATAAATTGTATAAAATTAACCTGACTAGTAAAAAAATGTCTTTCTACAATTAAATAAATATAATTATATTGCAATTTTAACATAATACCCACATAATTATTTATGAATCACGTTATAAAATAAAAATAATTTTATTTTATACTAAGGCATTGTATATTCATGTAAATTAAAATTAATAGTAATGATAATTTTAAAATTAAACTATTAACAACAATTAAACGAAGTTATGCAAAATGTCCAAAATATATTATTTTAAATTTGTTAAAATAGATTTGAATTAGCTTTTTTTAAAAATTGTATTTACAGTTATTCAGTTAAAACAAATTATGTTGATTAGAGTTTTTTTATTTACCAATATTTTCTTTGTCTTGCGTAAAGTTATTAATTATTATTTTTTATTGCCGTGCGAAAATGGTAAAAATTAAAAATTTTGTTTTTGGTTATTTGATTATAAACATATTATGTTTTGAGATTTAACCTATTGTTTTGAGTTTTGTTACAAAATTATTATTTAATAATTAATCGTATTGCTTTTGAGCTGTGAGTTATGAGTATATAGTTATGAAGTGTCGATAAAAATCATTCGAAGCACAAACTGAGACCACTTATTGCATGTCAAAATCATTACTTCAATGCATTGCATTACTGGTCTGTGGTATATATATATTTTATAATTTAATGCAACGACGTTATTTTGTTGTATTCCTCGCATATTTGGATCAACGGTGCTTGTCCGTTTTCCAACCCCATCGACAAAACGTTTTAACCGAAACCCAGAAACCCTATTCTCTGTCGTTTCCGAGGAATGAAAAAATAAACCACACAACCCTCGTGCCCAGGTCTCTCAAATTATTCGATGAACGGACCTACGATACGGACAACTGCTTTACCTCTTGTTCAAATTCGTCGTCGGGCAACGACAGCCTCGAGTCGGATTCGCTGCGCCGCGAACGGATCGGCGACGAGGACCTGTACTCCTCGAAAGCCGAAGGTGACCCGGACGATCCGAAGAAGCTCTTGGGACTGCTCTCGAACAATCCGCTACCGGGCTTGGACGCGGCCGGCGTGGCCGTACCGCCGTAATACTTGCGGTCCAGATGGTCCATCATGGGCTTGTAATAGCCCTCACCGATGTTATAGTTGCAATCGTATACCCGGGTCCGGGGACGGCTCAACAATGTCCGTTTTTCCGACATACTGCAAACACCGCGCAGAAATATTAAAAAAAAAAAAAAATTAATACTAAGTTATAATATTGTTATTGTTAATACTATGTGGTTATAATACAATACAATTTATAATCCGTTTGTGATCGAGTGATATGCGTCGAGTAAAATGTTGTTAAAAAACGAATTGACAGGAATGTTCAGAAACACTATACTTGTAAATGATGATAAAAAATAAAATATATACAATTAGCAATTGGTAATCGAACGATTATATGTCTAATAATTTAACGAATTAGACACGACGTAATTGGCCAATTTTTTTTCCGGTACACAAGAAAGGTGGTTTATTGTGAAGCGAGCTTTATAACATATTTGAGTTATACCAAGTTTTCAGAATAAACGGTAGATACAGTGGCGTAGCGATATGGGCAATCGAGAGGCGGCCGCCTCACAGTTTTTTTTCTTTTTTTGGGAGAGGGGGAGCAAAGCCGTATCTAAAAATTTTTTTCCGGAGGAGTCCAAAACAAGTATATTGTAATTTTATTGAATTAAGATTTTAACTTTTGATATTTGGTTAAAAATAAGACAGAAAAAGATTTAATCTTCTTTTATTAAAATTAATATCATATTTTCATATGATATTATGATATAAAATTTAAAGCAGTCAATGATTAATTAGAGCTTAAGTCGTTTTTGACTGAAAATATTTATGTTGGTATTGAAATAAATAAGTATTTTAAATATTCGTAAAATATAAAAAAAAATTCGTGAGGGACGGGGGGTCTAGACACCCTGGACCCCCCCACATACGGTCATGTGAGTGGGTGTTGACAAAATGTACTTGCCTCTGAAAATTGAAAAAGTTGAGTTCGCCACGCCACTAGGTAGATATTTCGCAAAAGTAAATTCTTGCAAAATTATCCAGGATCGGATTTTTCTAGGTCTATGTTGTCTATCATTGTTTGTGTGATTTAAAACATGATATATGTTTAATGTTAGTTTACTTATGTACTCGTAACCGTTTTGTATGGTGTCTAATTTTTTCTGCAATAATTAATTTTACAAAGTAAACTGTTAATAAAAACATGGTATGAGATATAAAAAATATTAATGAGTTGCTGAAAACATTTTTTTCTCCTAAACGTTTATACTTGACCTGTTAATTACACCTAAGTGTTTTTAACCTAAAGAGAAGGTATTTTACGCGATAATTTTTATCTAAAAAATATTGCTGTGATTAATAATTTTCTGCACGGTTTTGTTTTAAATATCTTTTTAGTTTCCATCGAGGTGTTATAAAAAATAGTACGTCATTTAATATTTATGATTGTATTTTTATGTAATGCTTTTTTCTGAAATGAAATCCTCGCGCTGTTAAATGAATTGGTCCAAAGCCAATATTTATGGCCATTTATACCAGACGGTTTTTTGAAAATGGTGGAGAATTATGTTTTAATTCATTCAATTAATTAAACAGTTAAAAATAAATTACAATATAATTTAATACAATTCATAAAAACTGAGTGATAGTAATTGTTAAAAAAATATTGATTTTATGTATTAGTTTTCAATCTTGTGACTTACTTCGAACTAGGAATGTGTAAATGTGATATGTGAAGTAAACTAGTTATTTTCATGAGCTTTGAGTCAGCAAATCTTTTACACCAAATGCAATTTCAGCAAAACTTTACTCAATATATTTATTTTTTATGTATAGTAAATATTTGAGTACTTTCGTCTTTTAATCTATTTAATCCAGGAAAATACAATTATTTTATTTGATATAATTTTATTGACTATATAAAACTAAATGAAAGCAACCAATAAATCGTACATATTTTTTTTTTTTTAACTTAATTTAATGTATTTTGTTTAAGAGTTTGAAGTAATATAAAGTCCATCGAATTATTTTAATCGTATAACAATATGAATCAGTAAAAATATTTAATTAAGGTTAATTTATACCAAAATAAAGAAAACATAGTTAAAACATAGATTATATCATTACATTAAATGGCAATCTAAAATAACTGCCAAATTCATAAGAAATGCAATATTATAATAATGGGTTTTAATTATTGTAAATTTGAAATCTATATATTATTTTATCAACAGTAAAAAATGTATGATGTAATTAGACATAACTGTTCAAAATAATTATAAGAAATTATATTTGATAAAACTGCAACATTTAAATTTGACATTTTTTAATTCATAACTTGATATTTTTTTTAGTTGTAAGTACTAAGATATGAATAAAACTATATTTAAAAAAATCTAGACAGACCAACAAGAAATTTATTCAAAAAATTAAGTTTTTAACGAATAAAATAATTATAAAGAAAACGCATTTTATAATACTAAATAACTAGTTATTTATTTCTATGCAAAAAAGTAATTTACAAAATTAATTACAACATTGAATTATAACTTAAATTTAATAAGTAATAATATAATTATAAGGAGTTAATAATTCAATTATTAGTATACATTTTTATTTTTAAGATAAATCCTATTAAATAACTTATAATTTTCTATAATATTCCATTGGTTTTGTTGTAAGTAATTTTTTCTAGTTTAAGTTTTTATTAAATCATTGGTATTGTAGTCTTTTTATTCTTTTAATAAGTTGGCTATTTTTATATACTCGAATTATAACATTGGCAATGAAAATAAAATGAAATGGCTCGTACTCGCTGTACTAAATTTATTAAATTTAATGAATTATAATAATTATATTTTGAATGTAGAAATTCATCGATATTGATTTAGATAATAATTTGTATATGGTTGATTTGTGAAGATGCAATATTTATTAGTCACAATGATTAAAGTTGATCAGTGTAAAGATTGAAACTGTAAATTACATAAGTAATCTTATTATAATGATGGGTATTTTGTTACGATTAATATTGGCCATAATTTTCTACTTAATGGGAATGTATTGAAATAATCAGTCTATTGATTAAAAGAAAGTGTATAACTTACAGAAAAAATAATGATAATCATTTTGTCGTAAAATAAAAATATCTTATCAAAAGTTGAAGAGGTTCTTATTTTAAGAAAAAATTGGATTGGTACGAGAAGATCTGTGTCACATTTATTATGATTTAAAAGTTAATATCTTTTAAGAATCTCTTAAATTTATAGTAATAATAATAATAGATAATAATAGTAAATAGTTAAACAATATATTTTTTCCAAGGTTATAAATGGCTTACGTGCTATATTTTGTCCTATTATTATTTAGTGTATTAAAATAATATTATAGTCTCATGCGGTGTTTATTTTTATATGATATCTATAAAATTATAAGTATCGAAAATATTTCTAGTAGGGTATTACTATCTCAATATTTGGTTTCTTGAGAAAAAACCTATTACTTTTATAGTATTGTTTACCATTTTATACTATCAAAAAATATTTTCTTTACTATAAAAAGTAATGATATATCTTAATTAGATACATACACAACTTGAATACTTTGTTATATTTACTAAAAAACTTACAACATTAGACTTAAAATATTATTTTACTGTATTATATATAATTAATATGGTATTTAAGTAACAAGATTATATGAGTCAACAGAAATACACACAAATACAATTATTGAATTTGGATTAGTATGTGTGTATTAATGTATTATTACTGCGGAGCAAATAACTTAAGTTTAAATTTCTAAAAATGTAAACTTATTAACACGTTGAATGATGTGAATTTGCAAAATAAAATAATAAAGAGTAACTTATTAACGTTAAAAATGTGTTTATGGTTTAATAAACAAAACTGTAACCTGTACAATCGTACAATACTAACTTAACAATAACAATAAGTCAATAAAGAAGAATCGGACATGATAAAGAAATCAGAGATTGCAGAGGGTATTAGACATATTTGTACATTTTGTTTTGTTCGTTTCAATACAATAAGACACAATTTTATTTTCGGTTTTATATATTTAAAAGTAATCAAAAATTATTGTTTTTGAAATTTTTTGAATCAAACTGTGTCTATGACATTTTTAAATTGTGCTTGTTATAAAAAAAAAAAAATAATAACAAATGCAGTGTAAAATATGGTGTTTCTATTAAAGTGAAACGTTTTCGTAATAACAATTACGAATTGTGGAAAGATGGATATGAGATTTAAAAATCTATTTAATATCTAAATAATAATACTATTTTCCGCACCTTTGAAGAACGGCAAAATATAAATACTCTGAATAATAGTCTAGGTTCCATGAGCTACGCAAAAATAGATGCTCGTTAAAAAATAATATTCAGTCGATTTCATTGTTTTTCTTTGTATCGCCACTGCTGCTAGTCATTGAGAAATTTTAATGGGCGATTATTTCTTCTATACCATGCGCGTGTAAACGCGCTTGGCCTACATCGCGTAGCTCTGGTGCGCACCAGTACGCGTCAACATTGTCGGACTACACTTGGTGCGTTGTACGGCGGTGGTGCGGTGACGTCGATGTTTCCGAGGGAAGGTATTCTGCAGTAGTACATTTTGTACATTTGTACATTTTTATAAATGGACGAGAAACCCGGCAAAACAAACTGTTTGAGCATTTTGCACGGACGGTGTACAAGAAGGGCGCCCTCCGTAACGGACGAGGTGTCCGGGGTACGCTCGCGGTGTACTCGATCGCGTCACTGCAGACGTTATATTTATACGACGATGACGACAACGTACGAGGTATGACGAACAACGATAGTAATAATAGTACAATTGATCGCCCGGCGTGTCACGAGCGACGGTAATAATACTACCGCACGTATGTAAATTCGTAGGTGGTCATTTATGAGGCCGTTCGCGTCTGGACCGACATTATAAAAATTGTCGATTGAATCGTTACAATGGCCGTCGACTCGACTGCGGAAACAACGAGTACATTTTGAGTACATTGATTATCGGACGCGTGCATAATAACATAGCCGTATTGTATTGTACGATATTCGCGTGAAAAAATCGCGTAAGGTCGTCGTCGATCGTTTCGGACGAGATCGGACGACCGGCGGTGCGCGCGCGCGACTTGACCCGGAAAGTTTGCCAAACGCGTCCGAATTTATAGTCCGGCAGCGGTGTGTCCGAAATGCTATTTTTACACGCACACGTACACACGCGCACGTACCGCGTACGGAAAGGCGAAGAAAATAAAATACAAATACATAATATGCGCATAACACATATTGTATACAACGTATAGTCCTTCGACCTTTTCGGCCGACTTGTCGGTGCGAAAAAACGTGCACCGCGATACGTGGAACCCGTTTTATTCCACCTTTACGGACTTTCACGGTCGCACCCCGCGAACCGAGAACACGGGACGACGCGGCGACATTCAGTTCCGCCGAGTGTTTACAAAACAAGACAATCGGTCCGCGGTTACAAACGGTCAAATAACAACATCCCAATATGATCAACAATAAATAATAACAACAACAGCAACAGCAATAGCGTGTACGAACAATTTGCACTCACCTTGCGAAGGAAATTGCGATGGGATAACCGAAGAACACGAAAAGTTGATTGACGTCTGCGCACGGCTAAGGTTCGCGGTGGTTAGCAAAACGTGTTTTCCGCGACGGATTCGATGGACGAAATGGCACTGCGTTACGCGTAGGTACCCTTACGCGTCCTTCGCCCCGCTCCGGCGGCCGGCCGTTTGACGCGGTGCCAACGAATTCGTACGGCACTGTAGGCACCGCACCGCCGACCGCGGTCGCGTTGCAAAACAAACGCCCCTCGGCGGACCAGCTCGGATTTCGCGTGGCATCCCGGTGGGCCCGCGGTGGCGTCACCGTCGGAATTCGGTACGGTTCGGATCCACGGGCACACGGACCGATGAAATGTACTGCTGAAACGTGCGTTTATCGCACACCCCAGGTCCCGAAATATACGCGTTTGCAAACGCCATCAAACCGTGATATACGTACGCACACAATGCATTTTTATTCCAACGCACACATTATGTTTGCACATTTGTATTGTATTAAAACCTCACTAACCTTACGCGGTATGCGTGTTATGTTCACGAGACGCTGAAATATTGCTGTGTTTGCGCGGAGTTGTCCGTAAACGTTCACCACCGCACGCCACTGCCGGTGCCTGGCCTAACGTATCGCGTCGTTTTTTCCCGGGCCGGTTCACGATCACGAGATAGCGATCGCCGGTAACGCGACGAAACGCACCTGCCGACGAGCGTTACGTATCGTTTACAGCCGACGCGACGTTACGCCCACGTGGCTAGTCAAAGTTCGACGCCATCGCGTTTAACGATCATTATTGTCCGCGCGCGTTACCGGTCCTAATCGCGTTTGTTGTTGCTCTCTGGCACGCGTCTGCACGGCGTAAAAACGTGTACGGGTTCGGTTCGCGTTTTACGCGTTTTACGCGCCACGAATATCTGATCGAATACGTTAAAATAAAATTAATGATTATCCCCTATGCCAAATCTGCGCTGATGATCTCATAAAAATAAATAAATAAATAAATAAATAAATAAAATTAAAAATGAAGTACTAATCGTTCATTGCGTCCATAGGATAGAAAATATACGATCCGAACCGAAGAGGAATATATATTTTAAGCAATATTATATCCATCGATATCGAGGAAAAAACGAAATAATAACACTATAGGCTACAGCCAAAGCGTGGCACAAACATTTCGTCTAAATATTTCCGAAAATCAACAGAATAACGCAATAGTAATAAGAACATGAGATTTTTTAGAAGTGTTTTTGACTTACCTCTTATTATTAAACTATTATCCGGTAATCCAGTTTTGGTCATATTTTTCTAATAATTGGTGATGGCATGAAACCATTATAGCAATAGTATTTAATATATGTATAGAATCAAAATTACTCATTAAAAGATGAAATCGATGTAATTCATACAATAATGCTGTAATGACACTCAACACAAAGTTCAACAAATAAAATTTAAACGAGGAAAAAATTAATAACATAAATATTGATTTCTTTGTAGTATATTTTACATTAAAAATTAAATTCGAAAATACATGATTTTTAGCAGTCCAAAGTTCACCTTTGTATTATATTATTTGTGTAAGTTCTATATTTAATTGAAATTCTTTACGATGTCACATTTCCTTTAAATTAACCAGTTCCTTTATTTTAAATATTATTATATCATAGCATTTTACATAAATCAATTTTTATTATATTTAAAATATTATTGGTTCTTAAAGTATTTTCCTATTTTTACAATATATTTATTTTAATATTGGTTCCGTTTTTATTTTATTATTGTTACACAATCTGAAGACTACCGAGGAATATTAATAATCATTGAATAATAATATTATTTACAAAAATATAATAATATAACTTTAAAAATAATTTAAGTAATTTATTTGCTTATTATTGCCTATACAGGATATTGGATAGTAACTCTAGATCGTTGGACAAACACTTAATGAAACATTGCCATGTATCATCTGGGTGGGAAATTTGGTAAATGTTTTCGTCTCGGATAAATGATTTACTATCTCAACATTCCGAATGCATCCCAAGTATTTGTTGCGTTGGCCACTGAAATGTTGTTGTGGAGTTCCACCGATATACATTGGTTTTGATCGCATAATATTGAACGGATCGCCTATACTATTCTTATCTGGAACCGAGTTCATGTTATTCACTCCTAAATTCACTACATTTTTGATTTTCTCAGCTGTAAAAGAATACAAATAATTAAGTTAAAATAAATTATTTATTTCAGTGTCCATCCAGCAAAGTTGTTAATTTATAATTTTAGCTAATAGTACTTAAAATATTACGTGTAAAATCCTTATTAATAATAATCGTCTTGAAATGGTAACATGATTATTAGCGATTAATATTTATTAGACACTAACCTTTAATGAAATGCCATTGACCATCGCACAAAAAGTATGGTGATGGTGGGGTGAATGAAGCAGAAATCGGACCTTTTGGACCAGCGTCCACAGAAAAGGATATTGTGCCATTTCTCATTTCTAATAGTAAACTATTCTTCTTAGCTTCTACCGACATCAAAATTCCATCTACGCTTCTTGGTTTTATTTCCATTTTAATCAATATTTTTTTACCCACCGTGAATTTTTCAACTGAAATTTAAAAATCATATATGAGATAAAATTAATTTTAAAATGTAAAATTACTTATTTACAAAGTCTTATGTAACCGCCGCCTCCATAGAAGAACGCTCCTTTTTCAACTTTTTCTGAACATTTAGATACACCAAATTCACGAGTAGGATGTCCTACATCTTTGGAATGTAATTTGAATTTGCGTAAACAACCTTCAAACGTTTCATTCATGCCCTATGAATAAAATTCTTTGGATTACACAATTTAAAATATTTTTAGTGGCGTACAAAAAAATATATTTGACAAATTGTTAAGTGATGGTTAAAAACGAAAATAATATATTAATAGGGTATATAACTACGATTAATGTTTTTCTCTTACAATTGATTCAATTACACGTCTGGAATCTAATGGATTAGTGCCCCCTATGTACAATTTCGGTACTGTATTAAGTTGGCATTCTGAAATATCACTGGATTGGACCAATATGGTATCTATGAACAGTTCAGCGTTCGTACTAGATCTAGACCATTCTATAGTATGCCATTCTTCATCATCAATTGACATTTGACCTATTATTGTCATTGGCACGGAATTACAGTTTAATTGGTAGTATACCTAAATTTAATAATTATTATTTTTAAATGTTGTAGGTATAGTCTAAAATATAGTTCCGAATTACTTTTCCTTCGCGTAGATATACAGCCATGATGTCAGTACCATCGAGTTGATAGGCAAAAGCTATTATACCATTTCCATTATTAGTTTTAACTTCAATTGACATCGTGTTTTTATCATTCTTAGTGCTTGCCATCAAAAGATCATATTCCAGCCTACTTCCAATCAAATTTCCTGAAAGATAAAAACATTACAACATAATATTTAATATTAAGAACTGTATAACATACCAAATCTGTATCCACTGTTTTTATTCACATCAGGATCTTCTCGTGGATTTTCCGGAAGTGCACATAAACCTACTGGTGCAGTACGTTGAGTGTTTATTTCATTTGGAGAGAGCATCGGTGGAAGAGTAGTTGGTAGAGCAGGTGCCATGGTTACATCTCCCTCATCCCGTAGAGGAGGTTTAGGTTTGTCTAAAATGATGTTATATTTTACAATATGTCTACACTTAATAAACTCAATGATTATCACTTAAAATAAAATTCAAGTGACCACAACTATTTTTTGTTATAATTCATATTAATCAATACTTTGGAGATTTTCAATGAAAATCTGTTAAATTTGATGCCTCATTGTAAGCGGTTTCGTTTATGTTTATAAACACTGTATAATAAATATTTATTTAATTTAAGTATTCAAAATTACTTGTATTATTACGCTTTGGTGATTTTGATCCTGATGTTAACGATCCGGAACATCTACCAATTACAGCTCCCGGGACATCAGTAAGTTGAGCGAAATTGATTATTTTTCCATTAAATGTTACGTCACCAATACAACCAGTGAATGACGGGGAAATTGAAGCGGCTGCATCGACATCAGACGGTACGCCTCCAAAGAAAAATTCGGAGAGTAAGAATCTTACAGGGTTCGGCGAACGATCAGATCTAAATAGTTAAGATTTTCAGTTAAATTGTACATGTGTGTGTGTGTGTGTGTTAATGTGAGGTTGAGGTGGGTGAGTATTGTAATGATTACATACTGGAAGCTATCGAAATCATCGACGAGTAGCATAAGCTGTTGGGGTGTATGTGCTATGAACACCACGTGCCACTGGTCATCGTTGTACAATGTAGCTTGTGTGGAAGAAACTTGTGTACCTCCACTTTTAAACGTCAAAATTCCGGATTCCATCCGTAATGAAAAAACAGATGGTCCATCCGCACCATATACTAATAAACCATCTGGAACGTTGGTTTTAAATCTTAATATTAGGTCGATGTAATTATCTGATGCAGTTGCGTTTGGCAGTTTTACATAACCCCTACTACCGGGCTCAAATGATACAAGGCTTGCGATCTGGAAATGTAACTCGATGTTATTGTCTGCATTTGCATGTAAATATTGTTCTAATATTATGAAAGTTACCTTTTCTGGGCATCCAGAAATTATTCCATAAGCATTAACATTCTTGTTGAGATTGACTTGTATTAAATCAATTTGCACACCGTCAATACATCCATCATAGTTAAACTTGGTTACCTCTTTTATATCGTGGAATCCTGGATAACCACCGATGTATAAATGTTCAGAAACCTAAGTAAATAGTATTATGTATTTACGTATCATGATGTATCAAATAACCGTAAGTTAGTTTTAAAACTGTAATAAAATTGAAAGCAGAATACTTGAAAGTCATATACTTTACGACACTATACAGTAACATACTCTCGTACCTAGTCCTATTGTTACGGCAATAGTCGGTTGTTTTTCTGTTTTAATAGTTTTATAAATAGTGCGCGTGTAGACCGTTGTCGTTTTTGAGTCAGTCTGCCCAAAATTGTTTTGCAAGAGCATTTTGTACGATTTTTGTCTAATATACGGTCGCTGTGTGTTTTATGCTAATCCCATAAAACGTAAGTCTATTCCTTAATTGTATCGGGTCAAAGGTTGTATTGACTGTAATATCTCGTGCCAACCAGTATCTTAATTGATGATGGGCAATAAGACTCACGCCGGGAAACACATGGCATATACGTCGCGTGCGCAGAAACTCTCACATTTTGCAGTTTCATGTACACTGTGTGTTCAGTAATAATTTTGTCTTTATGCCACCCAAACTGATTACTTCTAGTAATTCCACCACTACTTAAAATAAAATCGTCACAAGGGCTCATTCGTCTACACTTCCTTCTAATAGTGATATAATGGTAACTCTTGAAACTATTCGTAATGAATTTTTATCTGCGAATAATAATCTTTCATTCACCCAAACCGCTCAATTTAAGGAATGAATAAATTATCTAAAGCAATTATATGCGCAAATAATTGTATTAAAGGCTGAAAATACAAATTTACGCAGTGATTTAGTAATTCTCAAGTGTAAAGTTGCGTCATTGAAGGATGCTGGTTCACCTAACAACAATTTCCATATTGTCCCTTAGGTATTACAGGAAAGCTTTGAGCGTGAAAGATGCTCTTTAACTTCAACTATTTTTGGTGTACCTGAATTCTCTTCGTCTTCGTCAACTTAGCGGATTTTCGATGATATTTCTGTAGTACGTACTTTGCTTGAACCTCATAGTATCTGTATTCCGAATAACTTAAGAATTATACGTTTTGCTAAGGTTGATACAGGCAAAACTCGTCCACTCGAGCTGTTGTGTGGTAGCAGGGAGTCTGCTAATAAATTGGTTACCGACTTTAAAGCTTCGATGAAAAATGGTGTTAAATTTCCTACGGTTTTCCGTATATAAATGATAAAACGTTGTTTCAACGTAATTTGCTACGATCTTGTCATGCTGAGCTTGAAAATCGGAAGCAGAACGGGGAAAATAATTTCAAAATTTCATACGTTAATGGTGCACCTCAAGTACGGATTGCCAAATCAGAAAACTTAGCATTGCATTATTATTGCAACTTAGTTTTTTCCAGTTTTGTGTTCGAGTGTTTTCAAAAATGGTCTCAAGATAATGTTGTCTATACTGATTTAGCCAAAGTATTTGATACTGTAAACCACCAAGTTTTATTAAAAGTCCTAGGAGCGTTTGGTGTTGGAGAACCTCTGCTCTCATGGTTTGACTCTTTTTTAACGAACAGGCAACAGGGGGTAAAATTATTTGATATAAAACCGAATGTTTTTTCATCGACGTCTGGGGTACCTCAAGGTGGATTTTTATCACCGATTTTATTTTGATTATTAGTCAATAGTGTACGTATTGCTTTGCCTTTTTGTAATTTACTTTATTTCGCAGATGACATGCAGCTCTTTATGAAAATAAACTCAGCTGTTGATTGTGCAAATTTTCAAAATAGTCTTAATTATTTTGATAGTTGGTGTTTTAAAATAAGTCTTAAAGTCAATACCTACTTCTAAATGTCGAGTCATGACGTTCACTCACACTCGTACTATTACACTTTATGACTACTATATCTCTGGCTTTAAAATCGTATGCGTTGATGACATAGTTGATCTTGGTCTTAAACTATCTAGAACCTTTGTATCTTTTTTTTATACGATTTCAAAGAAAAACAAGTTTCTCAATTATGAAATTGTTATACAATTATACTAACTGTCGTAATCACACTTATACATAGTGTTATAAACTACCAATATAATTTAACATAATAAAGATATATACATAATCATTTTTAAATTCAAATTTTTGGATAATAATATATCAAACATTTTAATGTAATAATAGTACAAAATAAGTACAATTTTACAGTTATTATTCGTACCTGAAGTTCAGTTGAAGATCCGATACTTTCTCCTGTATTTATGAATTCTTCGTCAACTTTTAGTATAGATTGTTTTCCTTCTCTAGCTGCCTCGATTGTATGCCATTTGTCGTCATTGTAGGTAAGTAGTGAAATAAGTGTAATTGTTCCTTCACCCAAATTGAGCTGTATTGGTTTTAAAAATTATAATTATTTAAGTAATATTTACACATATATTATTCTGATAAAATAAAATACTAACCCTGTAAACAATATTTCCTCCTTCTAATTCTATTGACATAAAGTTATTGTTTTTAAATGCTAAAAATAGTAAACCATCTGTAGAAGTAGTTTTTATTTTTAATAGAATTGATGACTTATGCTTCATTTCATAAGAGTTAGATTCCAAAACAACAAATCCTTCACCATTCATTCGGTATCCTGAAGTACTTGGTGTTGTAGTTAGTTTATTCCTGTATGCAAAATGAATAGGTAATCGATTATTTCCATATCTTAAAAACGATTAATATATGAAAATTATAATTTGTGAATACCTTTCAATTGATCCATTATTTACTCCTGAAGAATCCACAAAGTTCCAAAGTCCAACGAATGTATTTCCAAGCATCAGATCTTCAACCCTACCCTCTAATGATTGTCCTACAATATCTGACTGTTCATTAAATGTAGCCGGTAAACCTCCAATAAATAATTTTGAGTGATCCTTATCTAAATTTAAAATAGAAGAATTTCCGGAAAGAATGGCTTCTTTAAGATATTCTTTTGGGTTTGAGCGTATTCCTACATCTTCGTGTATAACTAATTTCACTGTTTTACCGGTTCTATAATAACAGCAATCATATAGTCATATAATTATTTATTAATTTTTATTTGCATACCTTTCAACTGTTGCTTTATACCATTTATTATCTGATACAATTTTATCACTGACTAACGATGTAGTACCTGAACCAATATCCATTAATAATACTAAATGTTCATTTTGAACTTGCAATGCCATGAAATCATCCTATATATTATATGAGTCAATTAATTTCGATTAATATTTTAGTTGAAAAATATTTCATTACTGTTTTAGCTCTTCTCATTCTTCGACTAGTCCCAACTTCATTTCCAAGGTACATTATAAGACCATTTGGTTGGTCTGTTTTAAAGTATATTGATGCAAGCGTGCTTATTCCTTGTTGAGCTAAATTCTCTGGATTTCGAAGCTCAAGAGTTGAATTCTTGGATAAACTTATACCTACTTTGATTCTGAAAAAATAAACAGTTATCGAAGTAAATTTTTTACAAAATGAAAATAGTATTTATTCAATGATCTATATACCTATTAACCATATCTCTACATATATTAATTTTTTTCTGAAGTGATTCCACATTAGATTTCACTTGTTCTCCTATCTTTTGAAGCATTTCCGGTTTGTCTTTTAGGCGTTTTGTTGAGTCTGTGGCATTTGGTAACAGTGATTTAACTTCGTCCACTATGTTTAAATAATATCAAAATTTATTAAACTCAATACAATCAAATGTCACATTATTATTTAAAAAATATTTTACATTGATTATTTGATTGAGTATGATATTTATTTGCTTGTTCAGTATCATTGTTAAGGGATTGAGAAACAGTCAAATGATTTGGTATTGATTTTAATACATCATCAAGACTACTGATTAACTGTCGAGACTTTTCACCATCAGCTAAAATCATTTGCACATTAGTGTCTGAATTAACATTTGAAGTTTCTGATGAAATCTGATCTAATTGCCTGTTTGAATTAACAAATTGTTTATTAATACACTGACAATAAGCTATAAATGTTTTGTAATTTACTTTGATATTTTTTTTTCTAATTCGTCTTTTTGATTCTTTGAATTTGAAATTTTTGATAATTCTTCTTTAGAATTTTTTAATAATTGGTCCAAATCTCTTAGTATTTGTTCTAAAGCATTTCTAGAATCTTGAAGTAATTTTGTTGAATTTTGTTCAGCTGTAGCAACTCTTTCGTCTATACCTTTAGACTATAATTTTTTTAAATATTAAACAATTACAATGACACAAAAACAAAATTTAAAAAGTATTTACCTTATTAATAGTATCATCTGCTGCCGTACTCGCAATTTTAGCGGCATTTAATGACTTTTCTATTTCTTCTTTAATATTTTTATATGAGTTTGCTGCCATTATTGCTGTTTCAGATGCAGAGGTAGAATTTTTAACCAATGATTCCATTAAATCAGCCTTTTTTCATAAAAAAAATTATATTTTATTAATTTTTAACAACATTCAACAATTAAAATATAATTTATCGGTAGGTAAAATTACTATTAAATACCTGCTCCTTAAGTTTATCGGAATGTTCTTTGGCTTTACTGAGACCATTTTTTAGTTCATCAATTACTCGTGTTTCTTTTTCAATCACTGAGTCAACTTTAGCTTTAGTTGCTTTCATTGATTCATTATCCGTTCCAAGTTTAGCAAATGCATCAGTAGAATTACCTAAATCATCAGAAGCTTCTTTTATGGTTTTCATTAAATTTTCAAGAGCATCATCAGCTGTCTCTTTTAATTTTGTTAAAGAATTAATTCGTTCATTTTGTTTTATTAATGATTCCCTGAAAAAATGTATAGAAATAATTATTTTGTTAATTTTTACATACTATATGAATATTTTATAATAAATATTTATAGCGTTTATAAATGTTTTTCTGTGTACCTGTTCGCATCATTTATAAATGCAGTTTGTGCTGCTTTTTCCTTAGAAATATCTGAATAGTTTCTTAAATCCGTAATGTCGTCTTTGAATTTTTTAATTCCTGATTTTAAAGATTTTAAATGTTCATTAGGAGTTTCCAAAGGTATTGAAATTCGTTCCATTTTGTCATGTAGCTCAATTGATTTTTGTAGTGCATTTTTTGATTCGTCTGATTTTTCCGTCATATTTGGAAGCGATTGTAAAATATATTCCAATAAAACTTGTGCTTCGTTTAATGCCAAATCTATTTGCGGTCCTGCACCTTCCTGAAGGCTTTGTGCTAAATTTTTAACTTCAGTTACAGCTCTATTAGTTTGAGACACTACTTCATCCATTGTTACAACCACTTCTTTTGCATTTTTCAATGTTTTACTACCCTTTGTCGTTAATTCTAATGCATCTGATAGAGCTGATTTCGACTAAACAGTACATTTTTAAATAACAACAAGTTCTAATTAGTATTAGTGTAATCATAATTAACAATACCTTTCTATTCAGATTTGTAATGTCCTTTTGGAAATCAGTCAGATTTGCATTCAAGAGGAATGGATCAGTGCTACTCGATACAAGTTCAGTTAAATTCGGTTGTAATTTTGATACTGTCTCATTTATGTATGATAAACGTTGAGCGGTAAAATATCCAAGTGCTACAGTCTAAAAAAAAAAAAAAAAAATTAAAAAATTATTAAAATGAAAAAACATTTTTATGATATTTTTGCCATACATCAAATTCTTTCGAAACAGGATATAATTGACTAAATAATCCGTCTGTTACATCTAAAATCGAATGTGTACAAGTGTCACATTGGAAACATCCGACTCCTGTCGTCTGGTCTATATTCGGTTCAGGCTGTATTAATACCCAACGATGAGGACAATGATCACATTTATCTCCTATTACTCCTGGTAAACATTCACATTGCCCTGTTTGAGGATTACAACTTATACCCACACTATATTCTGAGTTGCAACCACATGCTGTAAACATAGGATTTAACATTTATTTACAAATGATATATATTCAAAATACATATAAAATAAAAATGTATTTTATTACATATGCATCCTTCTTCAGTATAATTCCAATATCCAGGCTTGCATCGATCACAAGTTCTACCAGCAACACCAGGTTTACATCTACACATTCCCGTATTTTCATCACACTGAGAACTTTCACTAGCCAAAGCACATTCGCATGATTTACAACCCTATATGCAATTTAAAAAAATAAGTTATTTTCATAATAATTAAATTTATAATAATAATAAATATATAATGAGTAATTTCGTATAATTTACAAATTACAATTAGTATAATTGATCTTAATTTAAATGTTATTTTCATATATTAGTAAAATATAAATGTAATCTTGTATGTTCAAGGAACTAATGCAATAAGTTCAATTATGTCAAACAACGCATTACAAAAAAGTTAATAATAATAATAATTGTTTTGCTTTCAATTTGTTTTTAATGAAAACTGTATGTTATTTTAAATAAATAAATCGTTTAACGATTAACGCAATTATAGTATATTTTAAAGTTATTTTTTACGTTTAACGTATTGGAAAATGTTTATCTTATATATTATTTACGTTTAGTGTACATTTAAAAACATTTGAATAGTGTATATTTAGGGTGTTTTATATTTCAATGAACAGTAGGACCGTTTAAATTTTGTATTTAAAGCTTAAATATTATGTTTAGCGTTTTTTGTTTTCATAAAATTCCCGAACTTTTACGTTTTGTTCATTAATTAAATACCTTAAAATTATTTTATCATTATTATTATTTTTATTTATTTTATGTATTCGTTAAGCATTAAAAAGTACCTACCTTACAAGTTCCAAAACCATAGTGATTTACTGCACATCTATCACATTTTTCTCCTTCTACATTAGGTTGACAAACACATTTACCATTATAGTTATCACATTTGTCCATTCCACATTTATCGCAATCACAAGCTTGACAATCTTTTAAGTTCAAAGCGTCTCCGAAAAATCCTGGCCTACAATACTGACAACTCTCGCCAAACGTATTATTTAAGCAACGTGTACATTTTCCAGTAATGGAGTCACACGATCCTGGGTCTTCTTTGTTTATGTTGCCAGAACACTGACATTCTTTACATATTTCTCCTATAAATATTAGTTTATTGATTTAATAATTAATAAACCTTAATAAGTTTAATAGAAAATCAACACCAATTTTAAACGGTTTTCATTTGCTAAATTACTCTGTAATGAAGTTATTTTTTACAAAACTATACACATGTTTTATATTTATAAGCATATACGTATGAACTTAAATTAACCTAGTAAACTAAATTAATTTACTTAAATTATGAAATAAAAACATACCTTGTATCTCTGGTCTCCCATAGAAGCCGGCATTACAAGATTCACATCTTGCACCGAAATAGCCAGGAAGACAGTCACAACTAATTTTATATCCATCTGAACTAACTTCACAACCAGTTGCAAAACTAAAATTGGAGCGTATTTATTTTTAGAGTGACTCATATTTATTTATTTGTTTTACGTTACAAATGTTTTTCTATTATATAGGTACTAAAATTGGGTTGATGATAAAATGATAAATTATTTTACTTGTTTGAAGCTATTGGTAATGGACAAGCACATATGAGACAATCATTTGGGCTTCCAATAGTTGCATTACCATGATATCCTACAACGCATTTTTCACAATGATCACCTGTAGTATTGTGTTTGCAACCCTAAAAACATAAATTCAAGAAAAATAATTAAATCTTAACGAAGAAATAATTACTGCCTTAACATGAGTATTACCTACAGTAAAAATTGATATATTTAGAAACCTTACATAATATATTATTATTATTATACAACACTTATGTTAAAAATCCAAAAGATTAAATAAAAAATGTGTTTTTACAACTATATCCATTATCAAATAATGGTTTAAAGTTGTTCTGAGTGATATAATTCATGTAAATATGATATCTGTGCGTTATAAATATACAACACATCAATCGACAAAAGTTAACCATACTAGTAGGGATAATTCATAAAACCAATTACATCGCATATTCCAGTAACTTTGTCACAGATATTGGAATGTCCATTACACTGACAAGGAACACAATAACCACCATAAGGCCCCGTTTGAGCTCTATAGAAACCATCGGCGCATTCTTCACAAGATAATCCAACATAGTTGGCAGGGCACTGGCATTGTTCAACAGATAACGCGATTTCTTTCGAAGGAATATATTCTTCTTGTGCCGTTTCTAACGATATGCTCGACACCCTGGAAATGATTTTAAAATCCGTTAAATATTTTCTGATATTATTTTCATTGGGACAGTGTAAAATTATACAGCTTATGTAATATAGTTATAATATTATGGCGATAACTTTTATTTTGTCAATTACTTCGTTAATACAGTCGGTTCCCAATAAGTAGCTCTGATGTATATTGCGTTTAAGTTCTGTAGGACTTGCATCATTTGTTCTCTAGTTGCCGGTAACCCATTAGCTAGTACAAAATTCTGCTCCACAAGTTCAACAAAACTAGGAAACAACGTGTTGGATGCTGGTTGTTCTAACGAAAAATAGAACAAATACGTGTCGTGTCCGTATAAAATAACATCGGGACCACTGACAGCACTCCCAAAAAGATTTGATGTGTAATGAATTGAATAGTTCAAGAACCCGCCATAGGATTTCAATTGATTTCCCGCATATTTTTCCGGAGCAAAGAAATATGAAATTTTTTTTTCTAATTCTATAGCTGTTAAATCGGCGCCTAAAACTCCTTCTTCCGTTTCGTCCAGTAGCAATTCAACACTTTCAATTGTAATCGGCTTAGTAGTCAAGTTGACAGTTTTCAACTGCCAATTCCTCATGTCGGTAATCTGAAATAATTTATACAATAGATATAGTATAAATGCATAGACATGTGGTATGATAACGATAAGCACTTACCTCAGTTCTATACAGATTTGAGCTTTGACATCGATTGCTTTTACCAAAGCAGAAACATTTAAGACATCCTTCATCATTCTTTTCCTGTATGTTAAACGTGCCCTCTTTGCACAAATCACACGCTTGACCGTCGACGTTTGCTTTACAAAAACATTCTGAAGTATCCTGAATTATAATACATTGTTATTAAGTTAATAAGTGATGAAATCACGTATAATAAAATCAACGAACTTGGTTACAAATCTCTGATGTTGTTCCTCTGTAGTCGCAATCACACAAATTACAGCGAGGGAATGACCAATATCCAGGACGGCAATGGTCACAAGAACGGCCGACGATGTTTTGCTTGCACCTGTACGGTTAGAATGAATACAAATTACCATGAAACAGTATTAACTATTATTGTTTTAAAAATAATTTTTACTACGAATATCTATAAATATTGCAATAAGTCAGCCACAAATTGTATAAAAATAAATGAGTAAATAAAAAAATTTAACAATTTTTACTCGCAAGATCCGTTAAATAAGTCGCATTGAAGATTTCCGTTTTCCACTCCGAAATAATTGCACTTGCACTCTTCACATCCAATTATCGGATCAAATCCATACGTCATCGGTTCGCATTGGTCACAGTTTTTGCCGACTACGCGTGGTGGACAAATACATTCTCCGGTGTTGGTTTCGCAGGTGGCCGCCGATGGGCAGTTACACGATTTACAGTTCGGGAAACCAAAGTATCCGGTCTTACAAACATCGCATCGTCGACCAATGACATTAGGTCGGCACTGGCATTGGCCACCGTATGGATCACACACGTAACTCAACGAACCGTCAGAGTCACAATTACAAGAAAGAGCTCCACTGTTATATGCAGTTGTCAATGAAAATGTGGCTTCTTTACAAAATCCTACAGTACAATTAACAATAAAATATAATAATATATTTAAAAAAAAAAGAAAAGAAAACCATCCTTAATAATAGGAGTAACAAAAATCCACAATAATTTCATTTCATTTCATTTAAAATAAATTCCAGGATATACTTAAAATATAAGTACCTTTTTAAAATCGATAGAGTCAAAAGCAAACAGAATCTAAAAGATAAATTAAATTCAAAATAGTATCCCTCTTCCCACTTATATATAGTATCTACGGATAGACATCATGATAATTACAGCCATTTTTATATCTTAAATTATATTAAATAAAACAATCAACCGTTTATTTTTTAATTATCAGGTGTTATCTCAAATAATCCATATAAAAAAAACAATCATTAGTAAATAAAATATATAATTATTCAGTGTGATAGAGTATAAAAAATTAATTTAATGAAAATAGTATCGATTTTTTATTTTTAATTAACAAACGTTAACCGTTATTCGGTAGGCAATCATAAAAATAATTCAACATTGTTTTCTAGTGTAACTTATTGTCAGAATATAATTTATATATTTATATATACTATTTCATAAGTATAAATAGACTCATTTATTTAATTAAAATAATGATGAAATATCAAAAAATATTTTTTATTAATAAATATTAATTGTTTTAACTGAATATGGATACGCTATTACTAAATAAACATAAAATTATGTATTTCAAATATTACCTGTGGTAGAAGTGTTGATATAAAAATTATTACTTCCACATTTAGATATGAATAAGCTAGTATAGTCGAATGGTAATTCTTTAGTTATAGAATCACTATATTGCTGAGCCGGAACAACCAAAATATATTCCAACCAAACACTTTTATGATTTGGTTCCTAAAAATTATTAACTCAATTAAAAAAACTTACTTACAACGCAAACGATGTTGGTTAACTTAATTGGTTGAATAATTTTTAAATTTGATGAAATCAAGTACAAATTTTACATAACAGGTTACCTTTAGTGTAAGCAAAAAGTTGTCAGTCAGCTGAAATTGTATATTTCCATTTGTTTGCTTCACAACGGAACGACATCCTGAGTTTGAGGGGCAATGTTTTACAGGCAAAACGGCTTCATATGTTTGACCATTGTGTATTAAAGCGTCCATTTCAAAAGCTAATTTATGTATAACCAAATTTTCAATATTATTATGATTATCAAGAAGTTTGGTGATGATTATTTAATGTGTTGATTACCTGGAAAATCTGGTTGGTAAAAATGAACGATGAAAACATATGCTCCTGGGCCAGGTACTTTTCCAGCCAAATCTACAATACTATCCTCGTAATCAAGAACGACCAATGACGTAGTGTTGTCGAATATATCTTTTGGCTTGGTCATTGCTAGACGGGCCTCATTGCCGTTTTTAAATTCCACTTTTTTGGTGTCGGGAGGTGTGGGATAGAGAGATTGAATGCATTTTCCGTCTTTCATGACACATGATGGATTTGGGTTGATGTAGTCTAAAGACCATTTATCCAATGGCAGTGCAACGATTGATTCTATTCCAACTCTTGAGTGATCTTTACCGCCTCTTAGTACAACTTTGGTAATTGGTTTGTTTATATCAAATATAGCTACTTTCCCGGTTGCATCCACCGCGGCTTGTCTGCATAGTGTGGTATGGTGACAAGCGTACAATATCGCTTTACCAGAATTCATCTTCTCGTCTACTTCGATTTCGATTACAGCCTTTGTTTGAATAGATGACGAAGTCATATAATTTACCAATACCACATAAGGCCCAAGCTTATCGACAGGTAATTCTAGTTTCAGTTCCGGTTGGGCTTCACTAATAACAGGCAATTTAGGAACACCTAATACGTCCAATTGCTAAAAATAAGAAAAAAAAATACATTATGATTTTTTATAGAAGTTTTATTTGCCATATTTAATTTACTTTTAAGTCTTCAATAAAGTCTACTGGTTCTTTGTCATCGGAGTTCAGTGCAAAAGTACTCTTGATTTGATTGAATTTGGAAATACTTGGGTAATCGAAATGTCTACACAGTCCAACCTCAATGTTATCGACCACGCAAGGATTTAGTACTTTGTCGACAAGAATACCTCCTTCATAGTATTCAGCAGGCAAAATCACGAAGTAATCCTATAAATAATTTATCATTATTACAAAATAAATCAAATGTGAATTATAGTAGTTTAATAATAGGTACTAACTACAAACAAATTCTGTTCGATTTTTATAGAAACCGCCCATCGTCCCGGATTCATTTCAAACGGCGATGGGATATTTCCTGTAGCCCCGGATACCGTCACAAAAGTTGGAACTTTTGTTGGTTTTAGTTGTACCTTCAAGTATAATTGGTTATTAATAATTAGTTCGAAAACGATTATAATATATTTACCATATACTTCTGTTCGGAATTTATGTCATTTGGCGTTTCAGGCGTGACCGAAACTAACCCCACAATTGTTTCATTGTTTGGATTTACATACCTCAATACAATTCGATATAGTGATGGTTTATCGATGTTAAGTTCATGAACTATTTCACTCTATTCAACATAAATACAAAAAAAAAAAAAAAAAAAATACAATTAAAAACTACTTCTACCTAGAGCCATTACAACAATTTACTTGAAGTTGTGAAAAAACGGCATAACCTTTCCATGAATACTCTGGAAAGTATTTTTCATCAAATCCATATCTAACTGGAGTATATGCTGGTGTTCTACCATCCTCAGCTTCATATGAAAATTGATACAAAGTTGGAAAATAATGTGCTTGCATTGGTTCAGTACACCCTCTGCCAACAATTCTAGACTGACAGAAACATTGCCCAGTATTCTTGTCACATTTTTCATTCACCGAACCTCCAACATTGCAACCGCATTCTACATTTATGAATGATTAATTTTTTATTAATTTTTTTTACGTTTTCAAAAGTTATAAGGATGAGTCTTGTTCGATATCTTACCTGTACATCCAAATAAACTATTTTCATTCAAACTGTAAAAACCTTCGGTACATTCGTCACATCTTCTAGAAGTAGCTGATGGTTTGCAAACACATTGGCCTGACTTCGGGTTGCAAACGCCAACACCGCTAAGTACGCCAGGCATAAAACAATCGCAGTCTAAAAAAAAATGAAATTATATAATTTAACAACTCCATTTATAATTTTATAATTATTTAACCACACCTTCACAACCGTCGGGATTCGTGGGTTGTAAGTTCCAAAATAGTTCTCGACACTCATCACATATTCTACCGTGCACTCTCGATTTACATTGGCACAACTCGCCCAATGGTAATGATCCACAACCGGCGAACGTTGAAAGAACACCAGCAGGATTACAATTACATTCTATAATAAAAATATGTTGTGAAACTTATTGATAATAATAAATAATAATAAAATACCTTCACAAATAGGAAAATTGTATAACCCTTCTTTGCATTTATCACATCTAGTTCCCATAAAATTTGGTTTACACATACATTTTCCTTCGTTATCGCACGAAACTCCAATCGATCCTTGACTATCGCAATCACAAACTGAAATTTGATAAGAAAAAAATAAGTAAAAAATGTAAAGTTCTAAAAATGTTCTCATTTACATTTGCACTCAGGATATTGATAATATCCTGGACTACATTGTTCACATGTTCTTCCGGCAAAACTAGATAAGCAGGGACATTTTCCTGAGGCATCACAAATGGAAGATGCACTTCCTCGTTCTGAACAACCACATGGTTTACAATCGGGATATCCATTATAACCAGGTAAACATTTGTCACATCTGGGACTAGCGTATCCTTCCTTGCATATACATTGTCCGTTGCTTTTATTGCATACTTCTGGTAATGAACCAATCAAATCACAATTACAATCTAGAAAAAAAATTACATATATATAATAACTTAATATTATTTAATAACAAAATTTTATTTAATATCAAAATAATCTATTAATATCATTTATAATATTAATAAAAATATAAATATCAATACAAAATATAAAAATCATAGTTATTGCTTAGAGTATAAATTTATGCAAATACATAAATAACACAGTACATGCTTTATACACCTGACGATGATTTCTTGAATAGAAGCTGTTCGTGAATATTTGTAAATAAATTAATTATAATGTTTTTATATTTTTTATTTAATTTGCTAGTGTCGGGGACATTATAGCAACATTTTAATTTAATTTTTAATATTTTTTGCATATTATTTAATAAAATAATTACATGAGCATGATGGAAATCCAAAGTATCCGTGGTTACATTGATCACATGAAAGGTTTCCAAAATTGCTTTGACACGAACACTGTCCAGTTTTTTGATCACATACCGAATTTCTTGAGCCGATACTGTTGCAGTCACATGCTATAAAAACGGGTTATATTTAAATGGTTGTATATTTATTAATGAAAATATTTTTTTTTTACGTTTGCACTCTGGGAAGTTGTAGAAACCATCAGCGCATTCATAACATAATTTTCCGCCAAAATTCTGTTTGCAGGGACATTGTCCACCATTATTTTCACATTGTCTTCCTCTAGTCCCATCCAAGAAACAGTCACAAGGCTTACAATCCGGATATCCATAATACCCGTCACTACATCGATCGCAGTCTGGTGCGGCATACGACTCTTTACATTCACACTTACCAAAACCTTCTGAACAGTTTCCGGTTGAATAAAATTTGTCACAGTCGCAAGCTGAAATTTCAAATACCATTGTTGAACATTAAATTCACAACACCCAATAGTGATAAAAGTCTTACGTTGACACACGTCTGTTTCATTTAACATTTTTCCAACTGGTCTGTAAAAACCAAAATCACACTTGTCACAGTTGATACCTGTTGTGTGATCTCGGCAGTTTTGACACACGCCCCCTCCTTCGTATTTACCGTGAATATCTATAGACTGATGCGCGGCGTCTATTGCGCTATCGTAGGTACAAGTCTCGGAATGACCGAAACAGTTACATGCTAACAAAAAAAATATAAAAAATCAATAAAAAAAATCATTTCAAGTTTGTAAATATTTTAATTTATTGTTCGCCATTTGTATACTATTTGAAAATTCTTACGTTCGCACTCGAATAGCTTATCGTACTTAGACTGACTCCATGCTTTCTGTTCAAAACCCGGACAACACTTTTCACAGTTATGGCCACAGGTGTTGTGGTGACAACGACATATAAGCTTATACGAATCATTTGGATCAGTTATGTCACAAAGATCTGCATGACCATTGCAGCGGCATCTACCACCAATACTAACATCTTTTATCGAATAAAAGTACTAAAGAAAACGAACAAAAAGATACTTGTAAACGTGACGAACCAAAGTATAATGTTAGAAATAATTCATTTACCCGTCTAGTAGTAGTAGGATCTTGTCTGGCTACGGACATAAGATGACCGAGAAGATTTTTCACTCTGAGTAATCTAAATCGTACGTTAGTAGCTCTAGTAAACTCTTGCAATGCGTAAGAGTTGAAAAAATTATTAGCTGATGGTCTGTTGGCCAAAAGTTTCACAAATATCTACAAATAAGTAACATAGTAAAATACTTTGTACAATAATAGAAAAAATTTTTTTTTTTTTCATTCACTGTAAAAAATTATTCATAAATCTAATCGATGTTGGTTTTATAACAAATAAATTTCAAACATTAACCATACTATTGATATATTTTTTTTTTTTATACTTAGTGTAAGCTTTTAGCAACAAACATTTAATTTAAATCAGTTTTAAAAAAATGTTCGCTTACTTCACCGTTTTCCAATGGTACGATTTTTGAAAACGATGTATCGCAAATTACTGAATCGTCGGCTGTGATAGGTTTAATGCTCTCCTTTCCGAAGTATGACTCACAGTCCCTATGAATGAAAACACTATTAAAATCTTCATTTTGTATTAAAGCACCGTTACTTACGCAACAGTGTCAGCAAAATACTGCCAAGCTTGATATGTTTGCCCGTGATCTGCTGATCTTTCGAGTACCCAAACACCCGGACGAGGGGAATTACCCATTTTTACGACAACATAAGCAACATGAAATTCCTGAAAAATGTAATAAAGTTGTACAACAAAATCATATATATTATAAATAATATGGTTAAATATTTTAGACGGAAAAATTCTTAGTAAATGGTACGTAAAAAATAAAAAATGTTTTTGTAAAATTTATTTATAAATTAGAAGTGTGTACGAACTGGTTGTAATGCATATTTATAATGTTCATTGAAAAGTATTTCATTTCAATGTATAACATATGTTTTATGTAAGTAAACTTAAAAATTATTGATTTTTGTTTAATATTTTTTACAAATGAAATTATACTCAAAAGTATTCAAGTACCTACTTTAAATAATTATATTACGTGTACTATTTTTGATACAATAGATTTGGAAACCTGTCAATGGTTTGAATCGTTGAGTAGTAACGTAACGGAAAGTAACGCATTACCGTAATGCTTTTACTTTTATAATTATTGCGTTACGTTGTTTCATTACGATGTTTACTGTGTAACGTATATGTAATGGAAATTAATTTATATAAATATTTTTCTGATATAATGACAAACAGACATATTTAATCCAACAAAGTTTAAAAAAAAAATATATTGATTTCGTATTATATTTAAAAATATATAGATAAAAGATTATACTGATAAATGTATAAATATAATTTATTTTTTTCAATTGTAACTTAAAAGTAACGTAGTTGCTTTATTTATTGAAAAGTAAAGTAATTGAATTACAATTTTATTCGAGTAACGTGAAATGTAATTTCATTACATTTAAGTAACGATTTATTTATTTATTTATTTATGTAATTTTATTATATTTGAGTAACTTATTACTAAGGCCCGGAATTGTATGCATTTGCATATTTTTATATATTAAACTAAAAAGTAGCTAGGTAAGACAAATATTTGAAACTTAACCTAAAATGTTGGTATGCGAAATTAAATTTGGCATGTTTTTGCATATTTGGAACATTTCAAATTATTATGCATATTTTACCATTTTTCTGAAATATAATGCATATATAGAAAAAAATATTATGAAGTTATTAATATTATTCTTTATTACTTAGCGAATGTCCATCGTAAATTCCGTGAATCGTGCAGTTATATAATTTGATTTTTGTGTTATAATAAGATAAGATAAAGTTTGCTAAAAGTACCAATAAGATAGTAACTCTCCAGGTAACTTTAAAAATATTATATAAATCTACTTGATTTGTTTAAATTGATTTTCGTTAGTGAATTTTTGTTTGGATGAGTGAGCGTTAAAATACAACATACAGTTCAATAAAATATATAAAATACAGTTGATATATTTTAAAGTATATTTTTTGTTGAATATTAATTATTTAATGAATTGTATAAATTTTAAAATTAAATTAATTTAATAAATAATAAACATGCATTTTTGTTTGCATATTTTCGCATATTTTTGCGTATTTTGAATGCATATTTGAACGATAACCATCGCATGAATGCATGCATATTTCGTACGTTTTTAGTACATACAATTCCGGGCTCTACTTATTACTTTTTTAAAGTAACTAACCCAACACTTTTTGAATATTATACATTGAATTCAATTCGAGTTACAGTAAATACAAATACAATCACTCTGTATATTATAATCTTAATTTGTATGAAATTCATTATTTTAATTCATTATTGCAGTGATTTTTGTAGTTGTTTTTCATTGAGCTTAAACAGTTAGTATTCATAAATATTTTATCTATTTGCCAGTTTATTTTAATTGTCCGGCGGAAGTAATTCTGATAAAAAAAATCGAGTGTATCGTGAATGTGTGATATAACAAATAAAAAAATTATACATATATATAGTGTTAAAAAATGAATTCATGTGTTGAACATTTTTGATAAAATTCATATGATTGTGTAGCACTATAGTTTTCAAATATATTTTGCGAAATTTAGACCATTTATTATTACGGTTTTGTGTTTTGAAACACTTCTCGAGTACAACGGCTTATTGTGTTTATTTTTATGTTTGAACATAAAAATTGATTGATGCTGCCACGTTTCCAAAATAGTGTTTATATAAGAGGAAACTACAGAATATATGGTCGGCTATGTAATCTAGGCCGGCCAGTTTATCTTATCTGGTTCCTATAGAATATTGAACTTCACACGCGTGTGATAACCACTAACGACCTTTTGCGCTTTTTTCTAACACTGTATACACCTGGACATTTGAAGGCTTTGCATTTTTATTCAGGAATACTAAAATATGACCTTAATTTTATTTTTTCACGTATATGTATAGGTGATTATTAAAATTAATGATAATATTATACTAAAATTGCTTATCAATTTTCAGAGAAATCAATGAACAATCGTTATGATAAAAGCCTGAAACATCAAAAGCCACGGAAATTCGTGTAACATAACACAGTCTTATTCACCTCGTATACGTAACATCGAAAAGTATAAGCAACATTTAGCTTATATTGTTTGCTTATTGCAAAACAATAAATTAAAAACTGTTTAAAAATAATAATACCGTTTGTAAAAATGTAAAACGTAAAACATATATTACTTAAACTAAGGGTTGCTTTGGTAATATTTTGAATAAAGAAATCGTTATCCTAATATTATAACGTAATTGAATAGATTTTTCAATTTTTATTTATTTATTTTTATTATGTAACACTAAATAAATGTATTATTCATATAGAAATGGATTTTGGATTTATTTTCTATAGTGTAGAACAAATTACGGCCGAAAAATAATGTGATTTACAATTTTTCATTTCAGATGTACTCGTTTTTTATTTTACTATAGTTGGAACAAATTAATTAAACGCACACCAATCTATTTATGTATACATTAACATACTTGTCCTAAGTCAATTGTTAAATTGATTTCATTGTATTTCATTCCTCTAGATAGTGGTGGACTCTGCCACCAAGTCTCTTCTCCATCAACCGCAAAATCTGGCTTATGTGATTTATCAGGACGATTTGCGTCACAGTGATCACATACCTGAAACATGGATTAAAATATAATAAAATACATTTTTAAACATTACGACAAGGAAGAGTAGCACTATACTCGTATACTTGGCTTCGACTTATTTAATTATTTTTAACTCACACATTATCATACTATTACACATACGAGTAGTATGAGAGCAATTTAGTGTTTATCAAATACTTATACATCATTTGTAAGTATTGAATATAAAAAAAAAAAAAAATATTAATCTCAAAGCTGGATATACAGTTAAATTACATTTACTTAGAAAAAAACTAAATATGTAAATAAACTTTGAACACCAAGGAAGATATTACTATATTTTATTTATTAACATCTTAGTTAAATTCCTAAAGTGCTAATTTTAAAATATATTCGCTAATTTATAACTCAAGTCAAACATTACAATTTCTGTTTATAATTTATGTTGCACTCATTTGCTTGACACGAGTCCCAATGCAACTTGTTTAAATATTTAATAGTAGAAAACGTGTTTTATAAACTCTCATTTTGAAGTTGATGACTTTAACCCTTTATAATAGAAAGCATAAAATCATGCTCCAAAAGAATTTCAAATACATTTCATTGTTTAATTATTTTATTGAATCTTATATTATATAAACGTATAAAAATATTAACCTTTTGAAATTTTATTTAATATTTTTAAACTGTTACAATAAATCATATTTGTGTTATAATATGTACTTGAAATAGTATGACAAGTTATGATTCACTGAAAACAAAGCTTTAACATTTATACACCTATGTGTAAGATCAATAATATTTTATTTATTTTTTTTTTTTTACTATAGTATTGAGTTTTTATAATAATATTAACAATAAGATTTTTATGAAAGATAAAATCTGATTCATTATATTGTATACTAAAATCGTATTTATAGGATATATTTATATATTTATAGTTGATGAAAATGATAAATAAAATATAAAATAAACTCAATAATCAATACAAAAATAACAATTAAAGATATAAATTTTTAAAACTTATGGCATAAGAATTTTATAAAAATAAAAAATTAATTAAACCTGACCAATGAGTACTAGGACAGTTCAAGTTCAATAGCAGTAGTAAATTATGGTTTACAAATAATCATTCTGATCAGAGCTTTGCACAACCCAATCTACCATAGAAAACTCAATATTCGTTATTTTTTTCAACTTGAGGAAAAAATTAGAAATTACAATTTTGTAATACTTCTTTCGTTTAATATCTTAAAATATATATACATGGAGGTACATTTTTTCCAAACAAAAAACTGCTCATAAAAAATAATGCGTCTTTATAAAACCAACGATTTTTTTACTAAGAACTTGAAGTTTCAAATGTAAAAATTAGGTCACCAAAATATAGCATATTTTAATGAAGAATACAACTAATGAATCGATGTATTATACCGTAATTATAAAATATTTTAATTTAAAATTAACGATTTTACAAATGTAATAATCTTACGTCAATAAATGAAAAATATAAAACCTTATAATAACAAACTGAAATATAATATATAGAAAATAGCTAGAAGATATATAAAATATAAAGATACGAGTGATTTTACAATCAATGATAATGCAAATATCATCAAAACAAATACACAGTAGATAATATAAATATTATACATTTTACAAAGTCGGCCCATCGAGTTTTCTGTATGTTACCGGCCCACTTACTAACTGGCGGCTCTTGTTCAAATTTTTTAATCGCATATTTCAATAGGTGCACTAATTTTCAACTTTAAACTATTAATATTTTCTGTTAGCGGCCTTTCACAACTTAAAAAGCCAATAATTGTTGCGGCTCACCGAGTTTTGCTTGGTAACTCGCCGGGCCAATCCGGCTCTGCATTTACTACAAAGCAGCAAATAAATTAGTATTTGCTAAAAACTACATTCTGTTTTTTGTATGTATACTAATTATCAGTTTTCTAAATTTCATGTTTAACCGTTTTAGATCAAAATCGTCATAGAATCTATAAGTAACAATTTAAAGCTTAGTAAAGAATTTCTATTTGTCTTATTTTGACAGTACCAGTCCTATGGGAAGAAGGGAGAAGCCGTGCGATCGCATTCATGTATTACGAACATCACTTTATCTACAAATAATCTCATAATAATATTTTCACCTGAAAAGGGTTATTTATTGTTACTATCGATGACAATTTTGATTGCACCAAAAACCATAAAGTTTACAAAATTATAAAAAATAAAATAAATTTATATGAAGCTCTGAAAAATTCTACACCGGGTCGGTGCTGGTATCTCATAACGAAAAAGTACACTTTGCATGTCAAATAGGTACAATTAATGTTATATCATCGCAATATCGTATGAACAGTATAATGACACAAAGATATTTTGAATTTTAAAAAGGTTTATTCACAACTGTTAAGGTTAAATGTATACAATATACGTCTCTCACGAATAATTATGACATTTATACAACTTGTACTGCTCTACTGTTATAGCATAAAACTGCCGTCACGTGTAGCATATATGAAATCCAAAACTATTTCTAGTGAAAATAATATGATATATTAGACAATAGTATGATGACTAATAAGCAATAATACTTGTTCAATTGTCCGGGGCCGTGAATAATTAAGAATTAAGTATCATTTGCCTTTCGGATTTCAATATACATAATATTCAAATGTGAATTATTTAAATTTTAATGAGACGTGTTATATATGGTTTCAGGTTCTTCTTCCGGCGTAGGTAAAACATATCGAGTTTGATAAACTACAGAAAGCCTTTTTAATTGAATTAAGTTTGAAATAGTAGAACTACGTTAATTTGCACTGCAGTGCAATGGAATATTATTTACTTCCCTCCGACGCTATCCCCAGCCCAAAGTATAATGTTTAACTTTCACGCGGTTAATAATTTGATGGGATGAAAGAAGAAGTTTACGACAAAGGAAAGCATACACACTAACAAAGTTTATGTAGAACTTCATTAGGTAAAATTGTTGTATTGCGAAAGACGTGTGTGAAATGTCATATTTGTCCCTTGTAATATTTTAGTTAACAATTATAATAATTTCAATAGTATCGGGCATATAATATATACCTAGGGATTTTCTGTGTAACATTATTGTTATTATGACGCATATGAACGCGAATTTCTTGTTTGAACTGAATTAATTTACAAACGTCATTACTGTTGAAAAATATTTGATGAAGTCGGACGAAATTATACAGTCAATAGGTATGTATTTTTACTAAGGGGTTGACAATTAATTCCGTAAAATATTGGTCCTAAACACAGGGTTATATAGTATTCATAGAGGGTAGGCACATGTTTAGGTGAACTGGGTATAATACTAACGTCAAAACTAAACTGACCACATAAAATTATGTTTCGTGATAATTAATAGTTATTAAATTATACAACATTAATAATTTATTATACATGTAATTTTTTTTTCCTTTATTTGTCCAGTCACGCTACTTTTCGGAAGAAAATAATATACAGTCGCGCTTGTTGGTAAACGAAAATTAGCGATTAACAATTAATAATTTAGTGATTCCGAATAATCTTTAAATATTAGCCAGATCGATAACAGCACATTCAGATCAGACATATATACCATCTCGGAATTTAATAGATTTTCACTACGTGTCCAACGCGATGTTATATGCAAATACATTGTTTGACGTACTCGCAGAATGAACTTACCGTTAGTTCAGTTTGATCCATGGTATATTACGTATATCGGTATGCCTTAATTTTATACTTTTTATAAAGCGCAGTCTAAGAAATTCACATCATTGATGTTATTGATACGACTTTATCGATAATTAACACGTCTTAATCGGAAGACATGATAAACTGTATAAACATAATTTCAATGTTATTTTCCAGTATGACTTTCCTAAAGTCAAACTTAACAAAAATTATAAATTATCCTAAATACCACAGAAATTTCGTGGAATAGAAATTAAAAGGTACTGAAAACTAAAAATACAATCACGTTTAAAGTCTGATGGTTAGGTTTTACATGGTTACATTTATCCGTCATACATATTAAGTATCAATGACTACGGACTTTAATGACTTTATAATGTTGAAATTCATATTTAAATGATACCATTTTATAAGAAAAATTGGTTAAAAGGATTCGGAAAAATGTTATTTCTATAATGTTTTGTCTGACTTTAAACTAAATTTCAATTTAAAAAAAATGTCCTATGTTAAAATGCATAATATTTTCCATACCCCGAAATTGTTACAATAAAGCAATAAGTATATACTTCGATTTGCTGAGTGAATTACAATAAAACGTGAAACAAAAATGTGAAAGTACGTATTTTTTTCAACAAATAACTATTATACAGTAGGGTGCCTATATTAAATTTAAATTATAATATATAAATTTATTTTTTTTTGTTTCACTTATTTAGAAAAATTAAGAGATAAAACATTAAGAGGTGAAGTATAATATACATTTATTGTTTGAAAACGAGTTAATTAAAATAAATAAACCCTGTAATATATATTTATATTCGTTAATTAATTCTGATAAAACAATAAATTGATAATAGTCGAAAACATTAAAATATAATACAAAACAATGCCCAATAAGTGCATTTATATTTATGTGTAGCATTTTGAAAACTTGGCTTTTCTAAAATGAATTATTAAGTTGATTAACAGAAGGATAAAAGACTGTTGAAAGTTCTTAAGTGGAAACAACGTTTAAATAACAACTTTTTAACGAGTCGCATCACAGACGATTCATTTTTCTATTACGAGTGATTGTTTTAAAAATTGTATGATATACTATGGCTTGGATTATATATTATTTAAAAATATATCCATTAGACGTGTACCTACACTTCTGGACCAGACACAGTTCAACCCTATGATGACTGTTTCGGAGGGACGGTAAGATACGAAAATTGAGGATAGAGTTTTATTGTCGTTGAAATAGTTTTAATTAAACTGTTGACAAACGTGTTTTTTGACGAAGAAGATATTAACGATTTGTACTGACGCGCCGATTACAAGGCAATAGAACCCCCCCCCCCCCCCCCGTTGATTTACTAATCCTCATTGAAAACCACAGCAGCAGTTTAGAGCTTAATGATGAACATTCATAACAAACCAATTCAAAATCAATAAATAAACGCATAACGATTTAAAATAAGTTAAAATACAACTATAATTCTTATATCACGATCAAAAAGAAATGATCGAATATTTGATTATTCATTTCTCGGAGTTAAAGATTATTTCAACAATCGCCAATCAAATAATTTCTTGTTACGACGAAATCTGAACATGTTAGGATACATTTTTACAAAGTTTTAATCAACGGATACAGTACGCTTACCGAGTGTATAGTACATATACTAGCTGTGTTACTAAAAAACAATATCAAATTTTACAGTATATTTCGTTAAATTATTATAAAAGTATCAATTTTAATGATTGGATCTGTCGTACGAAAATCTGAACGAAATTATTGTATAATAATGGTGTACATGACTCGGGAATCTAATAAAATCAAATTAACCGTACGTTTTTGAATAATGGCAAAAATATATGTTTTATTGAAAATATAATACGTAAAAAATATGAAAAAAAGAAACATGGCAAATTTAACATTTTAGCTTGTGCCGAAGATGAAGTTTTATAGTGACATGAATTGTTCAAATAATTATAAAATTATAATTATTATTTGTACTAAACAACTGTATGAAATATTGTGAAGATGACAAACGTTTTGTTTACTTTTAATACCTTACATATAATATGAGCTCTGACGAAATCCTAACGACTCTGACACAACAGACATTTCGAAGTATAGTACTCGTTATCCATCAATCACTGTAGTAGAAATCAAATGGTCAATTTATCGGCTCACACTTTCCTGACTCGCAAAAACTATCCAAATACTACGAAGCGGTATAACATTTCAAGTATTTCACCCACTGGTGGCCGAGGTAGTTTTTTCAAGCGGTAAGACGAATGCAGTCCGACACGTCGCTTCGAGCCGACGTTGCCCGCGCTGGCAGTTGGAGAACTGTCCGAGCAACGACGGGGCGACGACGACCGCAACAGCGCGGACAACAACAACAACAACAACAACAACAACTCACCTGTCCCTGGATGACGAGGTTGCCCTCGTAGTCGACGTTGCGCTCGGCGTTGGCGCCGACCAGCTTGCAGTAGAGCTCGGGGCCCTGCAGGCCCTCGCCGCACGTCGCGGTGGCGGTGATCCGGCGGTGCAGGGCCAGGTTGAAGTACGGCGGCGTGAGCACCTCCGGCCGGGCCGGAAGGGCCTGCAGCAACAGGGCCAAAAACGCGCCGGCGACGATGGCGTGCATCGCGGGGCGGCCGAACTGTTGCACGGTGACGGGCTATGCGGTTAGTGCTCGGACGAACTGCGGCGGCCGTGTAGCATAGTACGTAAACGTGGTGATGCTGCACCGACCGTGCCGGTGATGATAATAATACACACTTATCCCTCGTGCCCGATCATCAGAACACATGTCATGGCATGACCGCCGCCGCCGCCGACGCGGCCAGTGGTCCCTAAACCCGACGGCCACTCCCGCGCGCGTTCCTTATCGCCGAACGCACGCACAACATTTATACCGAACGCGTAAGTCGGTCCGTATTACCATTATTATTATCAGCATAACGCTGCGCGTGCGAATGTCGGGCGAGCGTTGAACAAGCTTTTATGCGCACGGATTTCCGCTTTCCGGATGTCCGGTATCGACTCCGACCGATATCCACGAGAATAATTCTTTGCGGGCGGTCCGACGCCGATCGTCGTGAAACATTTGGTGCACGGCCGTCAAGCGAGTTCCGCCCCCCAAGAACGAACCGTTTGAGAAGCACTTGCGTCTTCCGTAGGATATTTACAAACATTTGGTCTCCATATGATCTGCCCGAATGTGAAAACGTATTTCAACCGCCGCGGCGGACTCCGAGTACGACAGCACCGCTGCGTATCGTACAACATTCCGCTGAACGTTTTTGTTCCGTCCGGGGCGGTTTTTTTGCTTCGATTTCCATCCCGACGGACCGTGCTCGACCGATTTCAGCAACGAAAACGTTCAACGTAATGCATACGATATTGACGTTTCACGTCAAAACGAATTGATTAATGTCGAACGAGATAACGATATTCCAACTGGTTGGTAAGAATCTAACTTGCCCTTTACGATTTGGTGCACCAACTTCGAAACCAATATTGTTTACGTATTATGTATTAACAGTAATTCGATAATCGTTCAATCAGTAATTGTTCTCCGGAAGACGGATCGATGCGACCGATATTAAGGAAAGCAATCAACAGAACAATACGTTTGTCTGTAAATTAGTATTTTATTAGTATTAAGGTTCGCATTATTCTTACACAAATACCTCCCATACAGTGTACCCTATTGTGATGTTATGTCTTATCGTTACTCCTTTCACTTTATTGCCCATAAGATGGGGTGATTTGTTTTCCATTCATGTGTTATCGGCGAAATACAGGTGTTCCACGATTCGGGTACAGGTAGTGCGAATATCGTATACGGAGAATTGTACATGTGTAATTGTAAAACTGGTTTTCGGATACCAACGTTCCATTCATCAGTCCCTTTTCGTATCGCATTATCCTTTTTTTCTATCACAGGCAAGATACGGCCTCTGTAAGAATTATTGTCATTATTATTATTATTATTTTGTCAGGACCAGATGTTGGAGCGGCGGCGGCGACGTTCCAACTATACTGAAAACAGTCGTCACGTGTTGAAATCCAGTAGCTCTATTATAACGTTCTATACATGCACTAAGTCCAAAAATATAAGCCTAAAAATACTCAAAATTCATACGACTCACAAGGGTTACATTCAATATGTTTAATCTTATTAGACACTTTCGTTTACAAAGAATTATTATGTATAATATATATTAAACTATACAAATATTGTATTCAATCGTCTGAGACTTATTTTTAAAATACTGTTCTATACGTAATATTATGTGCCGTTTCGGTTATAAAAATAGTATTTATAAAAATGATGAAAAAAAATGTAGGGTTTCATGTGTTAATAATTATTTATATGTAGTGTACCCCTATTTTGTTACAATATTATTTCACCGTTGTTATTGTCATTTCATGATAAGGTTGTTATTAAATGAATTACATAATAATTATTATTAACAATGGAAATATTATCGTGTAAACATTATACGTAATGGATTATACCAATGCTTATATTTTTTAATTTTTCCAAAAAGCATAAAATGAGTAAGTAAAAGCAAATTTAATGCAGGTAAGATGTAACTTCCTGTTTTCTATTATTCGAAGCGCATGATTTATAGATCCAAAATGTTATATAAATAATAATTAATGTTATATTACCTAATCAAATGCAATATATTCAAATTGACATCGGTGCATGAAACCGTGTGTATAGTAAACATTTCTAAACAACTAGTAATAACATAGCTACTTTATTAATATACATAATGGACACCGTTATACAAATATACGAGTAAAATATCAACAGAATATTTTATGCTAGTAAAACAATATACTTGATGGCTAAAAATATAAAATATTATATAGAGTAATATTTTTAAACATCCAGAAGGTTTTTTTAAAAGTTTTCCAGACAACATTAGTTTTATAAAAACAGTGAAATAACCATAATGAAATAATCATAAGGTTAATGGAGTTTGTCTTTTACCACAGTTAAATAATATTGATAATTTGTATTATAATATATGCTAGTTACTGCTACAATAACTCAGCAACAATAATTGTAATTGTTAAAAATATAAATATAAATACAGAGTGAAATATTTTATATGTACTACATTGAAAGCAGTAATTTTTTTTTTTTTTGCTTTCAATTTGTACCTATAATACTTACTCGTATACATAGAATTATTAAGAAAAATTATTTTTCCTTGATTTTTGTTCAGAAAAAATATCAATAAGTATATCAAAATGCATTGAGCGTGCACGTTTAGTTTCAGTGCTTAATAGGACTAAGCTGCTGAGACGTTCTTGACTTATTGAGCTTCTTAAATAATTTTTAATCATTTTAAACGTTGAAAAAGACCGTTCAGAAGTCGTTGTTGTAACATGAAATGTTATGTAAATCTGAAAAAGTTGTTATAAGGGTACAGTGGTTGCAAATAAATAATTTTGCGAGTCGTTTAATTGACTCATATTACTTTTGTCCCCGGTCTACCCAACGTATATTGTCATAGTCGTAGTTAATCATAAAGCCTGTCGCCATTTTGATTTAACTCATATACTATTTATTTTTCGACACAATATTTTGCTGGTCACTGGCACCCATTTTTCATATGCCGCCTAGAAAAATTTGGTGCCCAAGGGCTACGGCCTGCGGTAGCTATGCCATTGCTACGTTCGTTATTATGATACAGGTAATTATTGTACTTCAAGCCCAAAGGGTAGCTAGGGCTGTAGCCCAGGGGTTCAGGCTTCAAAAAAGGCCCGGGGCCTGACCAAGTTGACTGGTGTCGAGTTATTTATGAACCACCAACATGAATCGTGCTAATAACCTACTCTAATTATATCGTATGCTGTATGGTTATAACGAGTCTACTATAGTTTTGCTATACGTCTCGGAAAACTGGGATCAGTTTTAGACTTCGGGTCCCGGTGTCCCGAAAAATGTTTTTGGGACGTGCATATGTCCTGGTTCAGATGTGTAGAGAAAATTTTGAATTGTTTAATTTTTAATTTCGACGATTTTATCTCAAAGTGAATTTTAATCGTAATCGATTGACAATATATAATAAAAACATAATTTGTAATTTACACATATAAATCTACATTTCAATATATTAAAAGCTATATAAAAAGTATATTACTCAATATGTGTTTGTTTTGTCCCGGTTTCGTCTTATGAATTTATGGCAACCCTAGTCTACAATAAAGTGAATACTATAATACTGATTTAAAACGTAGACAAATAACTTTTTCTAGAAAGACCTATAGGCTATAATTAATTTTATTATCTCTTTGGTATTCACATTTTAAAAGAAGATACTAGATGTGGTAAGTTTAATACCTCATGAGAGAAGCGCCTGGATTAATTTATTTCTGGAGGCCCTTGATTTCTCTCCACGGTCCTGTTGTACTCTTTATTTATTTATTATATTTTTAAATGTTTAATCCGAAAGAAATTTTTTTCCGCATTGGTATTTTCATATTATTTATAATTAGTTGATATTTTATTATTCACTAGTATTTACTTTTAAACAAGTGATGTAAAGTAGTAGATAGTTCCCTGAAAAGTGTTGTTAGTGACGTTGGTGCATTATTTCATTATTTTGTTCGGTGCAACTTTCATCAAACTGACAACGGTATTGAAGGTGATTATAATGATGGATGGATATAATCAACGACTTTATAAATATAACTGTCATTGCGGAGCTGGGATTTTGAATTCCTAAAAGTAACAAAAAGTGCACTAATAAAAATTTAAAAATCACAAGATATATGCAACAAAATGCAATTTCACTATTATATTAAAATATTTTTTTGTTTATTGAATAACAATATAAATAAACTGTATCAATTTTTAAAATAATGAAGATTTTATGTATTTTTAACACAAGTTGACGTACAATTGTAAGCATTTAATAGTAATCTATTTGATATATATTTTTTCATTTTTTTATTTCCCGGAAATGCATTAGTAGCTATTTGTTTTTTTTTTTGTTAATTTTTTTTCATTTTTTCAATTAAAAATAAGAACAAAAACGATAAAGGTCTAGTAATATAAATATATATGATCACTGGCTATGTATTTTTCATTTTCCCCGTCGAATGAAAATGAGGTACAGAGATCTCTTGAATTATTTCATTCAAAATTTATTTTTCTTATGTCTCTTCTCCCTCCTCTTTAATATTTCCTTCTTTGCCTTTTTCTCTTTCACTCTTCAAGCAAAGTGTCACATGTGAATGACTTATTACTTATGCAAACTATGTATTCTGCCTCTCTTTAGATTTACTTATTATACTTAGCAATATAGATTATACATTTTATCTTATAAAAAATATATATATATATATATTAGATTATTATAATCTTAGTCTTATGTAAGATAAAATTTCTTGTATTCTTAATCTTATGAACTACCTAGTATACAAATTATAAGTCTCTATTTAACTACACACTAATCCGTGTGAATTTTGTCAAATCACGTGTTTATAAATAATTTACAAATAACTACATTTGAAATTTTATTATTACCGGTTCATAGTACGAAATTCGTACTATTTGTAGAAATTTCCACGTCGCTGTCGTGTGCATAGTATATACATTTTAATCCACTCGTCCTG